CAAATGGTTCTGGTACTTTGGTCCATAGTGTAGGAAGTCCCACACACTCCGCACCAAGGATGGCCTTTACGATATGCCGGCCAACGGCGTCAGTAGACTCCCGAGACCGGTGCATCTGAAGTCCATCCCTACTCCCAGCCTATTCACCATCCAATCCGACTCATATGCCTCGCTTACAGACGTTCTACACGCATGGTGTAATGGAGCGACCGCACGGATGGCCCTGTACGCATGCGTGAAAGCAAGCCAGTGCTCACGAAGCAGGGGGAGCGATGGCAACTTCCAAGACTACTGGAGCCAGTGGTTTTCAAGCAGGTGCTGACCGGCGAGTCAGATACGTTGATTAAGTTGAAAATAAACTGCAGAAAAAGGAGCGGTGCCAGTCCTATGAGGACCAACGGTGCCAGATCTAACCATGTAAGCGGCCCTCCCGAAAAAATACATGACCAGTCCTCTCGTCTCACCAGGCCAAGAGGGCAAGCGGCAGAGGTGAGGACGCTGCGTGAGCGTCAGCACTACGAAATCATATTTACCGCCGAATCCTGGCTCTCGCCGGACATCGACGAAGAGGTGTATGTCACCGGATTGAACTTCTCCGCAGGGACAGAGGGCTCAGAGCAGGAGGGGAGGTGGCTCTCAACGTAGGCCCCGTATAAATAAACAAATAAATAAATCTTTTATTCTCAGTTTGAGAGGTTAACTTGAGAGAATCCAGCTTACAGGCATCATCAAATTGATAATGGTGGCGAAACCTTCATTGGTTTAGCTGTCCTGAATCAGACGGGTGTCTCGTCAAGGTTTATCATGATATCAAGTGTCTGCAGGTTATGAAAAGGACAGGATAACATCACTGCAGTACATACAGATTGTTTATGAGTTTCGGTTGTCTCCACTCGCCGTTCTTTTTCGCAGTGAAGTGACATCGAAATCGCACAATTTTCGAGGTTTGCGTTACATGTGACCTAGATGGTCAGCCTGGAGGTATAGTTTCGAGTGTCATCGGATAAACGTTTATTTTAACATCAGTCCACATGCTTACGCCTGCCGACAAAAACTCACTTCATCGATTTCAAGCAACAGTAAGTGCTAGCATAACCATATAGTCCACGTGAATATTTAAGTACTCGCATTTTTCAACCGTAGCATGACAGATGTAAGTCATCAGGATTAGTTGTCGAGGTAAAAAGGAATAAACATTCGAAGGACCATTATCCAGAAGTGAGGGAGTTTTACACATAGAATTCACATGGAAGCGTACGGCATTGTCAGATGTAGGTTGAGTGTTAATTGTCCTCTGTCAGGCGGAGTAAAGTGAGACAAAGTACTGGAGAAGTTTGTTAGCGAATATGCCCCACTTTGAGTCACTAGGTGAGTTTATTTTTTAGATTTAGTTGGTTGCCCAGCTTTTCGCTGCCATTATGACCGTCAAAAAGCCTTAGACCAGTTATTGTAGTTGAGTTTCCGCATATGGTAGCCTCCAGAATGCTGGCAACTAGGCGAGCGTAAAGTTGAACTTTTCAGAAGATTGGAAATCAGAGGGGAAAAACCAGGTGGCGACTTCTTTCAACAACTGCCGGTACCACGCACGAAGTAGTTTATTCAGTGAGCTGACGTCTTTGGTAAAAATTATACTCAAGAATTTTTCTTCAAACGTAAGCTGAAAAGAGGAGGAAACAGGAAAGTGCTAGCAGAAACCGGAGAGTGATATACCACATAAGACAAGTTGGGCAGGGCGAAGTTCCTATCTTCTAAGAGTCACTCAAGCTATATGCATACTTTAGTTTATCACCGAACCCTGGCACCCTCCGGATATCTCCAACGGAGAGATGTATGTCACTGGCATGGAACTCTTCCGCATGGACAGAGAGCCAAGAGCAGGGGGGAGTGGCTCTCTACGTAGGCCACCGTTCAAAGGCGAGATTGTTTGGTGACCCTGCCTAATCAAGCCCCCAGAATATTTATAGCACCACTCCACCCTCCACCGTGCCAAATACCAGCTTGGAGTAATACATTGGTCCCCTACTAGCCCCTCTAAACATAAGGAAGTGGTCATCAGGGCAGTCCCGACGACTCCTGCAGATTACGATTCCGTAATTATTCCCGGCGACTTCAACATCTTCGAGACGGAAGGGAGACACATCGGATCCTTCAATCAGAAGCTGAAGAATGCAATTAAGACCACTGGCCCCTCAGAGAAAGTCGGTGATGCCACACGTTCGGGATCTGACGGAAAGGCATCGCACCTTGACTGCGTTCTGACTACCGATGACCTTCGCACCCAGGACGTATGCACCCGACCTCCTTTTGGCCTCAGTGACCACGCAGTAATAACCTTCTCTCTGACTACAAAGGAGGTCCTGCGACCGGAGACGCCCAACACCTTCCCTTGCCATAGCAGGGCCATGAGACCATGAGAGACTATCTAGTGAACGCATCATGGTTGGTAGACTGGACCCATCTCACAAGAGATAAACACTGGATGCCGGCGAAGAAAACGATCGTTTGGACCATCACTCACAGTGCACCAGAGGTAACACATAGACCTCCAGTGAGGACCATGTGACTAGAGAGTGGGCAAGAAAGGTTAATTCAGGGCAAGAAGCAGGCTAGGTTCAAGTGACGTTCATCGCGCAGGGAGTCTGGCTTTCTGGACTGCAGCAGGATTCGCAACCACTGCAACGTAAGAGTGCGTAGCAGCAGATTTACCTATCAAACATACCTGGTGAGGAAGTTACAGAGCAATCCCAAAAACCTGTACCATGTCGAAAAGGAGGTCGACCAGCAAGGAAGTGAATCTTACCACAGGTCCTGATGGGAGTGAACTAAGCAGCCCAGGGGTTGCCAGGCTTCTGAGCTCACACGTCCGAGCCCAATTTGATACTGACACCGAATTCACACAGACTCGTTACAGAACCGACCAGGCCATAACTAACGAGTACCCATGGCACATCTCAATCATAGAGAAGAAAATGTCGGAAAAACTATATAGGCTACGTCCAGGCAAGTCCCCTGACTGTGATAACCTAAAACTGGTGATCCTATAAAACTGCACTGTGGTGCTTGCAAAACCAATCCACAATCTCTTCAAGCACTCAATAGAGTCATGCAAACTTCCTAAAGAACTGTAGTGCTCCATCCTGTCACCCATCTTCGAGGAAGGAGACAGAAAAGGCCCTGACAGCTACAGACCAATCGCTGTACTCCCTATAGTGTGGAAAGTGCTAGAAAGTCTAGGAGCCGACACTATCTGAGGGTTCCCCAACAGAGAAAATACTTTCCATACTGCTTAGTGCAGACTTCAGGGTGGTGGCTCATGTGCCACCAGCCTACTAACCTATTGGGATGGCCAGACACCCAGCTAGGACGACAGAAAACCGATACATGTTGCTTTTCTCGGCCTGGCCAAACCTTTTAATAGCGCTCCACCCACAGTCCTGCTTCCCAAGATCATGTCAGCCGGTATGAGTGAACCCCTACTCAAGGAGTACCAAGAAGGGAGGCAGTTCTGCACCAAGGTAAACAGAATAAGGTCCGAGAGGAGACCATCGACGTCAGTAGCATCCCAAGGAGCAATCCCAGGGCCGCTTCCATTCCTCCTGTTTGACGATGGTCTGCCGCGCAATATATCCTCGCCCATCCTCCTACTCGCTGACGACAATAAGTTTCGGAGAGCAGTAAACGAAAGGGTCGGCTGTACAGCACTATAAAAAGACTTGCAGCAACTGAAACTCCGGTCGTCAGAAAATGGCTTCAGCTTCAACGTGGAAAACAGCAGGGCAGTGCACAGCGGTAAGTATGAAACAAGTGCGGCCGACTTTGGGTACATGTTGAGGAACCATGCTATCATAAGAGCGTCCATGGAGAAAGATTTGAGGCTCAACTTCTCTAACACCCTAAACACCAACTGTAACTACAAAGATATGGCAACCAGAGGGAAAGCCATTTTGCACAGCTTGGCGCCCTCACTCTCGGGCTCTTCCTCACCATTTTCAAATCCTGCGTGCGGTCGCGTCTAAATGTCTTCGATACGGTGGCCCCCCAACGCTCAAGAGAGAATCTAACTTCCTTGAAAAAATACAAAGAACTTCATCAAAATCAGTTGTAGGGCTAAGGAGGAAGTCATATCCTGGAAGACTTAAACACCTGAACTTACTCCCTTTTCGTTATCGAAGGAAGAAGGGCTACCTTATTATGACCTGCAAGATCGCCCACCAGCCAAACCACGCAAATAAACCAACCTTGCCTACAGCGCAGCGGTCTTCACGAGGAAACCCATTTAAGATAACACATCAAACAGCCAACACCATACCCAGGTCCAATTTTTTCCTCCCGGAAAGTATGTGCTTTATGGAATGCCCAGTCGTGGCATATTGTCACATTCTTCTCAGCTGACTCGTTCCAGAGACGGTTAGACAGTCATATCACCCGGCATGGTCTACCACGGACGCACTCCTGGAGTCACCAACGTCACTAGCCCACTCTCACCTCGCTTCTACCTACCACCCACTATCTTCCCCCCCAATACATCCACATTACCCACTTATTCTTCCCTAGAAAGCAGAGCTACGCTATCTACCTTTACCTTTCAGGCAACTTACACATACTTCCTTACTTTCTTTTTTCCCTTTTCTCTCTTTTTTCCTTTTTTACCTCTTTTTCCGTTCCCTCCCACTACCTTACCATTCTCATTCAAACGCCCATATAGACACGAGTCACGACAGTCTCCTTAACTCCCCAGCAACCTGTAGCTCCCCAATCACTCGACAAATAGCGACTTACTCCACAAGTCATCCACCTCACCAAAGCAAAAAGTAAGAAAGCAAAGGAGATTTCCTCTTTTGCAGCAGGAGTGAACCGGACATCTCGAATCAAGCCCTAAGAAGCATACGCCATTGACCAGAAACAATCGGTTTTCTACGCTCGCACCGGCAATATTGTATATTGGATATTGATGCGTAATTCGACTGGTCTAGGTCATTTGACAACGACCTCCAGTCTCTATGATACCCTCTGGGCTTGTTATGGTTCAAAATATTCCTATTACCAAAGTCATAACCACATGTTTGTTTTCATTCATATTTTGTGGTGAGTTGAAGTCAAGTTCTTCAGCCTTTGTAAATGCTAAACGTCATGGTGGAGGTAGCATTGTGATTGATGATCGTAATCATAATATATTTTGGTTCATGCAGGTTTGTGTCTTCTTATAGCTAACAAATATCTTTCAGATCACAGATTTGCACCTCAGCAAGTTTGGTCACAAAGACAGAGGAGAAGATTTGCGCGAATTTTGTTCCACCCATATTCCTGTGATTCAACCAGAACTTGTAATCGCATCTGGTAGGTTGCTGTTGGGCTGATAAGATAAAACTAATGTTAAGGTGATATCACCGATGGTAAAAGTAGCATTATTCCTGGGTCATCGCAACACATAGAGGAGTGGGAGAATTATAAATCAGTGCTTGTGAATTCTGGTGTGTTGAAGCTAACGAAGTGGTTTGACATCCGTGGGAATCATGGTAAGCTGTTCAATCTGTTTTTAATCTTATTTCAGATGCTTTTGACGTACCCTCATCGGGGCATGCACGTGATTATTACAGGTAACTTAATAAAGTCGCCACATATATTCGCATTTATACGCATATATTGTATAGGACTTATAGAAAACATTTTGACTACAGTGACTTTTGATACTAGCATGTGAACTGTGACTATTTATTGAGGATTGTGAAACTTAGTTGGAATCAGATGCCTGCTCTGTAAAAAGTTGTTTGGTGGAGATTTCTGCACATACCTTGAATTTCTTCCATATATATCTAAACCGAGCACAGTAATGGTAATACAGTTCTTGGCGGTAACTGAGTGCATGAAACTTGGGCTTTTGTTTGTTCTCCACTTTCAATTGCTTGTTCATTGGCATAAGCTTCCCTCCAGGTAGTGTTGAAGCTATAACTGATCACTGTTGCCTTCATAGAGTCGCTGGTTTCCCATCACACTATTTCCAAAAACTGCAAAGTTAGCTGTTGAGTATCGCACAATAATCCACTCTCTCGATGCTCATCATTGCCTAAAACACCAATAATTCATGGAGATCAAAGTGGTCAGAAAGGCATGTTTATCAGTTCATAAATTCGTCGAGTGTTGACATAACCAATAGTAAAAAGTTGGTCTTACTAGTGCTCGCAAGGTAATTGAACTAGGTAGTTGAAAACTAGCTTAAAATCAACCAGTGACTCAGCCACACCTACATCTTGTCTTTCTCGGAATCATAGCTTGATACACTTTCTTTTCATCTTTATACTTTCAATTTAGTGCACATATGATGTGTTGCAACCTGGAGAATCACAAAGTTATGTAAAATTTTGCTATACATCTCTGTTTGCACATGTATCTGCAGTGAACTGGAAAAACCGATAATACTGGCTTTTTATGCCACATATCTTCGGTTTTCTTTTCAAGCTTTGCTAAAGTTGGATTTGGTTGCTCGTGATTTTAGTTCTACTGTTTTGAAAATTTTTCACGTGGGATAATACTCGTCAGAGCATGATAGCATTGAGTTTAGTCCAGCAGTGTTATACCTGACCCGACTAGTAACGATAAATAGTGCAGAAAATTGTTGGGTAGTACTATTACAAGCCACTACTTTAACTCACGGTATGGAAATTCACTAGTATGTTAATTGTTTATTTTGCTAAAGTATGTCGTACTGTCTGTAGCGCCTTCAGGATCACACATTGGGTTGCCAACGAGAGTTGTTTGTGTAAAGTTGAGATTTCTTGTAATCGCTGTGTCTTATCCTATCAAACGTTGAATAGATAGGCTGCTCAATGGCATGTGTGTCTATGTAGAAAAGCCAAGCATTTTCAGTTATCAGAATTACCATGATTACTTTTTTTCAAATGAATATAGGTTGTTTCTCATTATTATTCCAGTCAGTTTGGTGTCAAGGGCAAACCACCAACAAAGTCGTACATATTCAAAGTTTCAAAGTCATATGGTCAATACTCATTTGTAAGCATTGACTTGAGCCTTGAACCTGGAATAAAATGGCCTTTCAATTTTTTGGTTATCTTAGCATGGTAAGTTCAGCAGTTTTAATATACTTTGTGTAGTTATTCTCTACGTTGTTGAAAAATGTTTTTATCTAATGATTGCAGTTTTGTAACGTGTAGATGAAATCAACCATAAGAAATCAAAATGAAATGTACGTAAACCTAGGTGTTAACCGAAATAAGATCATATCTGTTAGTGTTTCACCTGGTACAGTTTTGGATCTACTTATCTGTTCACTTTCCCTGTGTATGGATATTCCGCCAAGTTTATTGGTTGTCACTCTAGTTCATAAATACTAACCACTCATGTTTGAAATGCAAAGTAACACGGATTTAGATTGCATCACGTAGTGAAGTGATAACTTGTATTACTGCCAGATTGAATTCTAAAGTTATGCCTTGCTTACCTCAAACTGTGTGACCGAAACAGGTAAACACGCTGACCATGAGGCTGAAACTTCACATAATGCTTTCAGTGACTGCTGTATTGCATCATATTTTTGATGTTAAAAGTCAAAACATCATTTTGAAAAACCTTACTGGGGAATTTTATCGAAAAAATGCCCATTTTCTTAAGGCATTTTTCTTAAGATACAACCAAATGAAGTGTTTAGTCGCTAAAAGATCATCAGAAGTCTCCGGGTAAGTACTGAATAAAGTATGTGACTTGCGCACCAATGCTTGTTTATTTCTGATGGATTCTAGTTGACGGTCCATCGTACTCTATCAGTCTAAACAGTATCGTAAAATGTTGGAAAGACTGGAATTCGCTGCTGCGTTTATAGTTGTCATCCGCGCTTATTCACAGCGAACTGGACAAATTGAAAGCGATGTGTTGAAATCGATCGAGATTTCTAAGGAAAGTTAACCGTGTAAACGGTGACTTATCAAAGCTCTCTACTCGAACCCACTAAAGCATGTAAGGGCTTACGGAAAGTTGTCATCAGAATTGACGACAACCAGCGATGTCCGTCAGAAATGGTCACTATTGCCATTCCTACTTAACTTCGTTATAGACGTACTCATGGAAATAACATTAAAAACGGCTGACTTCACAGAGATTGGCCTACTACTTGGAGGTGATCCGGTTGACTTTGAGTATGCAAACGATATTGTGTTGCTAGATGAAGACGCTGACAAAGTGCACGGCTCTCTAAACGTGTTGGGCAAAAATCTGAGTATGTTTGGCATGCGCTTTGCTTGAACCTGTCAAAATGTAAGATTATGCTCCATAACTAGTCTGCTGCAAGTACTCCCAGCTCAGCGTTAGGGAGTTAAGTGATTCAATGTGTTGACTACTTAACTTATTTGGGGAGTTGCATTACCCCCAAACAGTCTGGTTATTAAAGAAGTCCCGACTTGAATACGAATGGCCCGTTTGGCATCCCCCAACTTGCCTCATCGGTGGCACGGACTGGCGAGATATCCAACTATCTATCAAAAGACGAGTATACTGAGATGCAGTTGGTTCTGTCCTGTTAGACGACTGTGAGACATAGTCGTTGAAAGTAGAAGACATGAAGCAGCTACAGGTGTTTGATCATAGTTGTCTTCGTAGCATCGGTCATGTTAAGTGGAATCACCGTTTGAGCGATGTTGAGGTTAGGTGGGCGCTACTGGGGAAGGCAGGTGAGTCGGTTAGCGAGGTTGTAAACCTTCATCGACTGAGATGTCTTAGACTTGTGGTGTGTTTGCCGATCTAGTGCCTACCTCGACGTGCCATGCTAAAGGAAGTTGGACTAGGTTGGAAAAGGGTTCGGAGTGGCCAGACCAAGACTTGAAACTAGTTGATGAAGTCTGTTAATTTTGGTCTGAGTCGTGTGGAGGAGATCCAGTCTACCTAACTTGGGTCCCCGAGAGGAAACGAACCAGTGGTTAGTGGCTCTTGGTGTCATGGTTGGAGAACGGTCACAATGGCGCAGATGCGTTCACTCTGACATCTTCTGAAGTTTGAACATCTACACTAACTATTGTCTCCATTTTGTTTATTCTGTCACACAGTTTTGTCTACTTTGATATCAGCCCGACCAATAGCTGCTACCTTGACGTGGTGGTCGGGCTTGCATGTCACAATGACCCAACGAGCTATGCTGATGGAACACTTATTCCCTTGAGGTCCTACCATACCAGAAAGTTCTGTTGGATAGTGGTTAGACAAAAAACAGCTACTGTTGTGGTGTAAACTACTACAGTATAATGGGGGTCTGAGGGTGAAGTCGTACTGCTGTTAGTTGGATGGGGTGTGACAGCAGTAGGGTGTTTCCCTTGGATGACGAGCAGTGCCATGCTGATGCTGCTTTCTCAGTGAAAGGGAGTGAAGGTTACAAAAGGTCGGCCCCAAAAGTAACACACTCCACGACACCCTACGGTCTGCCAGGCCGGTGGTGTTGGTTCATTTATCGTTTCTTGGCGACCATCCGACCCCAAAACAACAAAAAATCAAAATGATCATACACAAAAGGCTGGGTGTGACAGGCCTTAAGCAGATGTCCGATAGGCTTTGCGGTCACACAAATCTCTTTCAGATACTTTAAGAAGAAATAGCCTTCCACGGCGTGGGTAGCCGGAAAGTATCAATCGCCCTCACAACTCTATCAGCACTCAAGTTTCCTCAGACTGCTATCCACCTCCCCCCTCATTACCTCCTAATCTTCTTTCACGTCTCCCAATTAACAATACTACATCATCCTCAATTTCTACTAACTCTTCAGCCTTTGACAACTATCTGAGTCCACAGAACAGCATCACTGGTCTCCTTAAACCACGCTCCAAATTACATATTGGAGCCTTCAATGTCCGCACCCTCCGTCAAATTGGCCAACAGGCTTCGTTGGCAAAGACTCTAGCAACTCGGGCATGGATGTGTGCTGTGTTTGTGAGACACGCATACAGGACCCAAGTGTGGTTATTCACCTGACCTCTCCTGACCAATCTGGTGAATCTGCAAAATTCACCCTTCGAGTTTCTGGAGATTCGATAGCTAGCTCTCGTGGTCTTGCAGGTGTAGGTATAGCATTAAGCACCAGGGCAGAAAACTCACTACTAGACTGGATCCCAGTTGATAGTCGCCTCTGCGCTATGAGGCTGAACGGCACAGTGAGAACTAAAAGGAATAGTGAGACTCGCCGTTGTCTCTTTGTAATCTCTGCTTACGCACCCACTGACTGTAGTTCGGATGAAGTGAAGGACGAGTTCTACCATAAACTGTCTAACCTCCTCTCGAAAGCCAAACGTTCGGACGTAGTGGTTGTTGCAGGTGACCTCAACGCACAGGTGGGTAGACTGAGTGAGGCAGAAAGGCACTTAGGTGGCACTTTCGGAATCCCAGCTGAACGTACAGATAACGGTGATCGCCTATTACAACTATGCTCAGATAACCGCCTATTTTTAGCCAGCACAAATTTCAGACATAAAGAAAGGCACTGTCTGACCTGGCGTCCACCGAGCTCGACTCAGCGATGGACACAGATAGACCACATTGCTATTAGTCATCGCTGGAGAGGATCGGTGGAAGACTGCCGCTCCTTCTGGAGTACGTGTTTGGACAGCGATCATGCGTTGGTCCGAGCACGTATATGCCTGCGTCTCAATGGACGTAGAAAAAATTTGGCAACAAAACCACTACGAGTTCTGCTGGACAACGAAAACACCAAAGCCGTGTTCAGTGAGAAGTTGGCTAGGCAGTTATCGGAACAAAAGACTGTCACTCATCCAGAAGAAGCTTGGTGCCATCTTCAGTCTACTGTAAAAGCAGCACTGGAGACTGTAGCCGACTCCAAGATAATGGCTAAAAAGAGCCAGTGGATATCAGCAGCTCTCTCCGAATTAATGGATGCACGTGAACGCATCCCTACAAGCTCTGAGTACAACGAAGAACGAGCGCAACTTAAAAGCAGATTGAGGAAAAGTCTACGCAACGACCGCGAACAGTGGTGAACAGCGAAGGCAGCGGCGACTGGTGACATTAGAGCTATTTAGACGTAATCGGGAAACTATGGGGAGAATGTCAACAACGGTTAGTGAGACTATAGCGGAGAAGGACGGGTCTACGATCCATTCGCAGAGGAGACGACTGGAATGATGGGCAGAACACTTCGAGGAGCAGTTTAACTGGCTTCCTGTCACCATTCCGTTGTCCACTACCCAGTCGGATTCCGAACGGAACATTGAGATAGGCTCCCCAACACTTGCAGAAGTTGAGAAAGCTGTAGGTAACCTGAAACGAGGAAGGGCAGCAGGACCAGACGGACTAACTCCAGAGGTATACAAGGATGGTGGTGGAGTGCTCTTAGTCAAGTTGACGAAAGTGTTAACCAGTATATGGGAATCAAATACGATCCCCTCTGACTGGTCTTAATCACTGATTATTCCAGTCTTCAAGAAAGGCGAGAAGTCCTCTTGTGATAACCACAGAGGAATCAGCCTGACGAACATAGTGTCCAAGATTCTAGGTTCTATAATTCTCCGACACCTGAATGGAGATCGGGAACAAGAAGCCTGAGAAAACCAGGCAGGCAGGCTTTAGACCTGGCCGGGGTGTATCGACCAAATATTCACGCTGCGCCAGGTCCTGGAACATAGGCATGCTTGCAGAAGCCCGACAATAGCCGTATTTCTGGACTTGAAAGTGGTATTTGACTCCTTTGATCAAGAAGTCTTGTTATGTCTGTCACTGAAAGCCATGCCCAGTTAGTACCTCACCTTATTGGAAGCTCTCTATTTGAACACTTGTGGGCATGTTAGAGCCTATGGTGAGCTGTACTCATCTAGCGGTGTCCGTCAAGGATGCCCACTCTCTCCATTCTTATTCAATTTCATCATAGATACTCTTATGGAGGTCTCCCTCTCGTCACCAGGTTACACAGACGTTGACCTAATCACAGGAGAATTTTCGTTAGACCTAGAATATGCAGATGACATAGTCCAGTTAGGTGAAGATGCTGACGAGATGCAGAATCTTCTGAATACTTTCAGTGGGAATTTGAGAATGTTTGGGATGCGTTTCTCACCACCCAGCTGCAAATTGCTGCTCCAGGATTGGTCTTCAGTGGTGCTGCGGCTAACAATAGAGTGTAATGGTTGAGTGTGTTGACCATTTCACTTACCTGGGAAGTAGGATCAGCCCTGATGGCTCAGTGGCCGATGAAATCTCTGCACGGATACAAAAGGCTCGATTGGCTTTTGCCAATTTGCGCCACCTGTGGCGCCGCCGTGACATCCGATTGTCTACTAAGGGTCGCGTGTACTGCACAGCAGTCCGATCTGTTCTACTGTATGACTGTGAAACAGGGCCACTGAAAGTGGAAGACATGAGAAGGCTTCAAGTGTTTGACCACCATTGCCTTTGTAGTATAAGCCGTATTCCGCGGTGTCACCACATGGGTAATACAGGAGTCAGGTATAGAGTTTTAGAGAGAAGAGGTAAATCAGTTGACACGGTTATGAACCTTCATCGACTGAGATGGTTGGGATACGTACTACGTATGCCCAGTCACCAATCGCCTCTTCCCACAATGTTGGCTAAAGTAGATCCAATCTGGAAAAAGGCCCTAGGTGGCCAGACTAAAACATGGCACCAATGTATAAAGTGTCTGACTGTTGGTTTGAGCCATGTGAGGCGATGCAGACTAGTCGGTTGGGGTCGGCAGGACAAGAGCAACCAGTGGTTGGAGACTCTACGTGATATGGCTCAGAACCGATGTGAGTGGCGCAGATGTACACATACATTATCCTCATCTTAACGACGCTATACCGAATCTCACCACTTTCTCATTCTTCGTTTTTCTTTTTTCGTACTTTATATTTCTCTTGACTGTATTTTCTTATCTTCATGATTCACCTCACTACTTTTCTACTTGATGTGCTGATATGAGGTGTGGCAACTCGGACCGTTACGCAGTAACGCGTGGTTCTACGTTGATATGGATGGATGGATGACTTTGATATCAGTCTCTTTCTATCCACCTTTTATTTGTGTACCACTGTGAAGTGTGGCAACTTGAGCCGATGCACTTGTGTGCGAGTTTATTCGTTGATTTCGTCTGTCTGTCGGTGTACGAGTAGAAAGAATATACCGAAAATACCTACTTAGTACTTTCGTAATCTGAGCTCACTTAACTGATAGTAGTGATTGGTTGTTGAACTGCACTCATCTGAATCTTAGCAAGTATCGGCTTTAGATATGAAGGCAGCGTTGTGTCTACTGATTTCAACCCATCAATAGACACAGTCAGATCACATTGCTGTAAGCCCCATTTTAAAATTGATCGTATATATCGGTTTTCGCTCACATGTGTTTGTGACCGAATCTAGATAAAACAACCATTTATAGAAGAGTTTCTGGAGCTTGGTTTAGAAATGAAATGAAATATCTGTTTAGACAGTAACTACTGGTTTGTTTCTCAAGTTGGTCCGATGCTTTTTTAAAATCTTCTGCAAACTCATTATTAGGAAGTTGGAGTAAATCCAGATATTGGCTAGATTTGATCTTCCAGTCAGATCCTATTGCTCAAATGTACCTGCCAGCACTCAAGTATTCGTTTTGAATCTTCTGAAGGCATTTACTGGGAATTGTGCGATTTTAAACACTTATATTCTTGGTGTAGACTGTAAATAATCAGTTTTTTCCCCTAATCATAAAGGGGACAAATGACAATTATTTTTTGCACAGCTTGCGAAGTATGATAGTAACCATTACTTCAGATCCTACCGGTAGCAGACAGATAACCAAAAGATTATCGCATATATTGTTAAGCAGCCAAGCATCATTCATATTCTAAAATTTCTCTTTCCTGGTCTTTTCTATGCAAGAGTTATTTTCGATAAACAAGTTTATAAACTTTATTTATGTGAAACTCATTGATTTGAAGCTAGTTTTATTCATGAACTGATAAAAACCAAAAGACTTGTGAAAATTTTGTTTTTAGAATGATTTTTTCGTCTTATTATGAAACTCATCAGTGGTGTTCCACTTGCTATTACTCCAAATTTTATAGTGCATACCTCACTGTTCAATCAATTCAAGATATAAAGCGATCACAATTTCACATCACTGGTCAATATCCGTCCTCACTCCTGACTTGATTGATACCACAGGTGTGTTATTAAAAATTTAGGAAATCCACATCAATATCAGTCCCCAAATTATTATCTAGTTGATTAGTTTGTATAGAATTGGATAAATCAACAGGAGATATCAAACCGTGGAAAACTAAGGATGACTGGGCAGTCGGTATGAGTGGACGTCACAGAAGTAATCGTGAATACCAACCGACAATATTTTATATCACGAATCAATGAAAGTCGAAAATTGTTGAACGTCCTCACCATGAGATCTGGTTCTTCTAGACTCAATCGCATATTAGCTCTTTGGTGAGCATTAACAAGGCATACTTAAGTAGGATGAAACATCTGTTAAGAGGTATTTAGTTCCTAAGGTTCACTAGCTGGTATCAATTCATGATGGAAGTTATTTTTCTTGTATATTTCTTCTTCTTTTTTGTAATGCTAAGTGGCATTGGAAACAAGCAACATATTCCCAATCCGTCATTACCATTTTTGAAACATATGTAATACCATTTCATACGTCCTGTATATTATTTTTCATAGTATATTAAGGTCAGAAATCACCCTTACAGCAGCAGTATTTAAAAAAAATTAACTTTTAATTTTCAACTATTCATAACCTAAGTTTTTTTTCAAGTTGTTATTCATCGTAGACTGACATCAGTTGGAGGAACAAAGGAAACCTGGGAGCACTGGACAGCTGTTTCGTCCTAGTGTGGGACTCCTCAGCAGTGCGCACCCACGACCCCACCAGCAGGGACCGAACCCGCGACCTTCAGGTTCCGCGGCCAGCGCGTTACCAGTGCTCCCAGATTTCCTTTGTTCCTCCAACTGATGTCAATCTACGATGAATAACAACTTGAAATAATTCCAAATCTCCACAACTCCCTCAAAATTTAAGTTTTTTTATTTGTTCTATTTGAATGTCGTTCATTATATGAGCTTTTTCTCAAAATTCATTGAATAAATGTTACAGGATGTTCAAAAACAGTTGTTAAAATCAATTACTCAAGCAAAAGGGAGTAATCAAACATTTATATTCGGACATCATCCTACATCTACAGTTGTATCACAGGATTTGAATTTACGTTCATTAATTGGGTAAGGTTCCATGTTGTACAATTTTCGATTTCATTTTCCTCATTATTGGTTTACAAATACACATATATATGGTATTGGTGCTGGGCATAAATGTCTATTATTAATATTGAAGAATAAAAGAATATTTGATTTATGCAAACTCAACAACACAGTTGGAAAACTGCTGGAAACGAAACAGCACCGATTAGCTCACTAGTGAGCGTTTTTGACTCCGAAACTGCTCTTAACTTCACTTTTCATGGCTACTGTTAAGTCATATGAGTCCAGTCCAGTAGTTGACGGTTTTCAATTTCCCTCAGTATATGTCGTCAACAAGACTGAGTGATCCTGAATTTGAATATGGAACCGGTGTTTTTCCTTATAATTTTCTTCGAGTGTGTTTGTTGCATGATAGAAAGCCATCTTCAATGAATCAGTCCTCCGAAACAACGAAGGTGAATATTTTATTATGAATAACTGTTGACTGGACCATCAGAATATATATATATATATATATATATATATATATATATATATATATATATATATATATATATATATAATATATATGTCGACCACCTCCCATATATTAGGGGAATCTAGCCTTTCGACAAGAAACCGACCCCTCCAATATTCCACACTTCAAACTTCTTATCACACAAGATATTCTACTCGAGTTCACTTTCGGCATTATATCCTAGTTTGGCTCGTAATTTGATCGTTTTTTTGTGTGACTAAGTTTGGTACCGCAACTGCTTCTGTTCATCATATTATAAAGTAGGGCTATTTTACTATGTATTGTTGCAATATAGTTTATACTTTTTGTTATCATTTGGTGCCCATTTTATGCCTGTAACCCCATTTCGAATTGGGTTTATGAAGAATCAAACAGCGTAGCCATAACATTTTCGATGCTACCGTAAAAATGTGCTGGTTCGATTTTCAAAAGGTGATGATGCTCTTGATAGTCAATCCTGGCTAACGATATCACGCAGAGATATCTGATTACTATTATAAACCACATTTTGACTTGGTTGGTGACTTCATTTTCTGTGTCTTTCTCCCTTCCCTAGTACCCTTTCAAATCAGTAGTTGGGAACTCTAGGTGATACTACTCAAAATCTATCTAGGTGGTACAGTTGTATCCACACATTATCTTTGTCTTATTGGTCATATAGTTATAACAAATAATGATATTCACTTTATTCCAAATAATATTTGGTATAATTTGGAATTCTCAGCATAATATATTGCAACAATAATAAAATATATGTGTACATATACTCCCTTACATTTCGAACTGTGTCATTACAAAAATTTAAGTAGTGTAAAGCATATTAGTAACAAGAAATTTTTGCATTGTTGGTTAAATTATTGAAATGAGATTGTTAACTTTTACAAAGTTGGTGTGTGAGTTCTGTCCTAACATTTTTTTCCTCACATAATATACGTGTTAGGTAAGGTACAATCGAATTCTTGTATTTGGCTGTACAAGCGTACAGTCTTACATAGCTTTTTCTTGTCCTCCCTGAGGAGATACAAAGAGAGAGCTGTGAATAAAGTGGATCCTCAGTGTCAGTTAAAATAACTGTAACTAGTTGCCTGCTGGAATTTAAATGTCTGTCAACTACAGTGTTAGTCAGTTGGACCTGAGGCACATCACTCAACCTACTGATAGGCTTCGTTACTGTTTTACGCCCACTTATAAATTTCTGCTAATTTTGATTACTTTTCCTTTCTGTATGCCTTTCATTTTGGTCTCTGTGTATTGATGTGCAAATATTAGATCGTAATTTCAATTTTTGTAATGTTTAGACTTCTCTTCCAGCTTGATAACTTGCATGTACTATTGTGGCAACTTGTAATGTTGCGCATTACTGCCAATTCTCATATCGATATTCCTTTGACTATTTTGACCCTTTGAGAGAAGTGAATCGATATTTTTTTCACTGTTATTATGATTGTATGTTGAGTTTGCGGATTTACTCATTTCTTTATGTATAGGCTAAATCTACGTAGCCTATCCACTTATATAATTACTGCGTGTCATTAGCGGTCATCAATTTACAAGCTTTTTCCAGTCATATTAAAGTATAGAGCTGTGACTTGTTGGTCTAGGTATTCCATCAGTGGGTCGCGCGTTTGAACCATATTCCACCTACTAAGGTCTTAACAGCTAGGTAATATCATTAAACATTACCAAATGTGTGGCACCTTGCCTACTGCATGAACGTGCAGAAAGATGTGCTCAGCAGCCTTATGCGCATTTATATGGTAGGCAGTGAGGCACACCTATTGCATGACGGCTAATGATACTACCTGGCTGCTCAAACCTCAGTAGGTGGAGCGGAGCTCGAACCCGCGACCCGTCGGTTAAGATTCATCTTCCTAAACCAATGAGCAACAGCTCCCCAATGTGCACGTTGTTGTTGGATGCGTTTCAATGAATGAAGCTGTTCCAGTCAACCAAAACTGTAACGTATCTCAGTTGATAGAGCACTGGGCCGAAAACCTGATGGTTGCTAGTTCGAATCCTGCCGCAGCCCAGATTTTCATTCTATCTTCAATCACCACTCAGTATATTTATTTCATTTTCCAAATCAGTCATTTATTGTAAACAAGATAGTAGTGAGCAACTTTGTAGACACTTGTATTAACATTTCAACAACTGTTTAAAAAAATATCTACCAGATGATGACTCTTCATTAGACCTTTTTCAGATGGAAAAAGTACCTCAGTTCATTGTTAAATGAGGTCACATAGAAAGAGTTTAAAAGTGTATGTTTGTGTGCACGTGTTTCTTATGGAAAGAAACAATATCTCAATTATGTGCATGTATTGTTTCTCTCTGTAATATCATATTACTGAGTTTTGTTTTTCTTGTGTTTACAAACTCATTTTTCTACTTATTGTTTACGGTATGTGAATCATTGTGAGCAGAAAATATCACATGTAAACAGGCTCAACAGATGATTCATTCGTTTTTGCTACTTATCTGTTGTTTGCATGTGATGGCTATTGCCGGAGTTCATCTCAGTGAATGAACATGACGAATTTACGGGATACATACAACATAATACAGTCATGGTACTACATGATTTGTGGACCCAAGGGATCTTATTTTCAATTTATTTGATCCATTGTGTGCCTAGCCCATCATAGGGGTATCGATAGTTAGAGTAGTTTAAAAGTAATACCCATTTCTTTGGATTTTACAACGTTTGAGAACATTTTAACCGATAATGGTACATAGTTATGAGTGTCGTTCAGAAGCGTTTTTTGGGGTTAGTGGGGATTTTGTGTTTAAGGTAGCATTCATCACGGACTGACATCAGTCGGAGACTCATTGAAAACCTGGGAGCATTGGAAAGCTGTTTCGTCCTAATATGGGATTCCTCGGCAGTACTCACTCACGACTCGGCTAGGGATCGAACTCAGGACTTTAAGGTTTCACGGCGAACGCGTCAACCATTCAGCCGCTGGGTAAGAGTTCATTGGTCCACAGTTTCCAACTTCTTTCAATTCGTGGTACCGCACAACTATCACCCGAGGTCTTCAGTTGGCATCCACAAGTAAACTTTTGTATTAGAGTATAGTTGCTACATCTTTGCTCGTGTCAGCTACCAATCTGTGGTAGAAAGCCAAAGTTATTAAGAAAAGCGTATCAGTTACTCATTAGTATGTTGAGAAGCATTCTAATTTACTCCAGTTACCACTGCATGATGTTAACATTTAGACTTGTGAGTACTTGTGCATCACTCAGTAATTAGTGTCCCTAAGTATGATATGTACGTTGTACCATTAAAGTGCAAAGTACTCACGCAAGATTGGAAGGAGCCTGTGTCTGCGCTCTCCCTTAGTAGTGAGCCACTGGAAGTAGTCGAAAGGTCCATGTATCTGGGTGGTTGTGTGATATGGCTCCGTGGGATGAAGGGTAGTTGTGTCGAGTTAGCATCTGTTCATGCATCACGACTTCCTGCATGGCAGTGGGATCCCAGAGATCACGCAATTCAGTGACTTTAGACGTTATCAGATATGGCTCAGAATGGAAACCAGTGAGGGTCATACAGTAGCTTTCTTCTATTTTCTGTTGCTGAAAAGTAACGAATGTTTCGTTCCGAATATACTGTACTGAACTGTCCTTCTAATCATTCTGTTCTTGTTGTGTTTTTCTTTTAACTTATGTACTTCCCTTCGCTTTATGTCTTCATAATGTTGTTATATTATTTTGCGTGGTGCATTTCTTGGTGCCCTTGCTGCACCACGTTTGTGTTCGAATAAATAATAAAGTAAATACTCACTCCTATCAGCAGTGCTCCCTAGCTAGATGGAAAGAATCCGGACATGGAAAAGCCGTTCGTTCTTTAGGGGACAAACTTTCCAGTGGCGTACCCATACTGATTCATCTCACAGAGCCGAATCGTCCGAAATACCTGAATACTGAATAGCGTTTTGGGTTGGCACAAGTGATCTACAACTGCTGTCGTCAGTCAGTAGTATACTTGGTACATGATTTGAGCAGCTGTTATCACAGATTTAGTTCTGGAGTGATGGTCTAACTTGAAATCTGATTGGTAGGAGTAAGGCAGGGTTTCAATCACAAATGTCTTCGTAGCATTGCACACGTTTGGTGGAATCATCATGTGATCAATGTTGAGGTCAGACGAAAGGTAATAGACAAGACAGATAAGTTGATTAATGAAGTTTTGAACCGTAGTCGACTGATATGGCTTGGATGTGCACTGCGCATGCATATCCACAGCCTACCCCGACATACCATGCTAGAGGTTGGATTAGGTTGACGGAGAGTTCAGGGTGACCAGACTTAGAAGTGGCACCAGTCGATGAAACCCCTGGTTGTTGGTCTGAGGCGTGTGGGGAGACGTAGACTACCTGGTTGGGGTCCCTGAGGCGGAATTAGTGGTTAGTAACTCTTGATGCCATGGCAGGAGAACGGTCACAATGGCGCAGATGTATTCACCCGTCGACACCTTCTAAAGTTTAAATATTTGCACTAACCATTACCTTCATATTGTTTATTCTGTCACACAATTTTGTCTACTTTGTTATCAGTCCTTTTCTATTTACTTGTTATTTGTGTACTACTGTGAAGTGTGGCAACTTAAGCCGACGCTCTTGTGTGCGGGGTTTCACGTTGATTTTGTCAGTTATGTATGTGACGGCTTTTGAAAGTACTGTTGTGACCGCGTGGGTATAATGATACTGAGACTCAATAGACACTTCAACCGAATACTTTAACGACTGATCTCCCTCAGTGTCTTCTGCTTCATTCACTTAGCCACGAAAAATCAGAAGACAAAGATGGTCTGTGACTGCAAGAACAACGACAACGACTTTATTAGACAAATACGTGGTAAATATACATTTACAAAACGCAGAAAATGAAGCCATAAATGAACCAATCCGATTTGTTGTGTAGCGTCAAATTCGTCCAACCAGGTAATCATATCAGTGCATGCATAGATCATGATCTGAACACGATGTGAAGACAACTCTATTGCCTGCCTTTTTGTTGCTACGTATGAAGTACGTTACTTGATAACTTGACACTTGTGCACTTAGAGATAGTTTCCCCTGAAATACTGCTGATTACTGTAACTAGTGCAAAACAGAACCGTTAAGCATACTTTTCATCATAGTTTTTGAACATAGGGGTATGCTTTTCCTCTTTTTTTCTGTGGGTTGGATTACCGTCCACATTCATTACGATCTAGTAATCTTTTGTGCAGTAGGGTCATAAAAATTATTTCCCAGATGACACTGACAATGAGTTCGACATGAGTTTGAAACTGTTTTATTTCATAAATATTACAGTTGCTTTATATTTTGTTCGAGTTACTCGCATACTTAGTAGCCTTTCGTCTGCTGTGTAGTGTTTTATTTATGAATTGTATGCCTTTTAATACATCTTTGTGTGTCAGATGTCTGTAAGGGTTCGGTAATATCTATTCTAATCGACTCTGCTTAACTCAATGTTTACTGTCTACTTCAATTACGTTTGACTACTTCGACCGGACATCGACCACTAACAAGCTTTTTGTTACCTCCAATAAATTGTACTGCAAATTGTTTCTGTTATCTGCAGTATACGTGATAGTTTGAAGCCTTGTAGGACTATTACGCTGTCAGTTTTTTTCTGTGTAATGAAATTCATATCTTCACTTTGAAGTTTTCTTAACTTCCATTTCAGCGATAATGCATTTGCTTACCTATGTGGTCATTTACATACACTTCATGGAACGACAAAAAGAATGTATGTATCACAGCCTCAAGGATACTGGGAATGGGAATTGGGTGACTGGCGAGAAAACCGTTAGTGAGTTGTATTATATGTTTAAAAAAATATCTGTACTGAGTAATATTGTTCTTACTAATGTCCTTTACTTATGCAGCGTTACTCAAGTATTCTTTTGCCTTCTTTTCTAGTGTCCACACTTATTTCACTTGCTTTGCTTAGAGATTGTGAAGGAGGAGAGTAAATTTATATAATTTGAACCACCATACGATGTATGATACCGATGAAATAAACCCTATGTAGTTGAGAAGATGGTCTATGATAAACGGAGCTGTAGCTCATTGGTTTACGAAGATAACTATCAGACATCGGGTCACAGATTCGAGCCCCGCTCCACCTACCGAGGTTTGGGCAGCCAGGTAGTATCATTAGCCCTCACATAATAGGTATAGCTGGCTGACGACTGCACGGATGGGCATGAAGTGGTTAAGCACGTTTTGTTATGATAAACAGACAAAAAATGAGAGCATGGGCAACAGTAAACACGAAACAACTGGAAAGGAAAATATTTAAGAAATTTCAAAACGGATTGCCTTTATTTGTTGAATAAAAGCTAGTAATCTGTGTGATTTGTCTACTATCAATGACACCAAACACCTTCATTGTTCACATTGGGATTCTTTTTCAGCTGAAATGAGGAATTTTCAGATGCACTAAACTAATAACCTAATATTAACCTAGTACCTATTTTTTCGAACCCCCTGTGCCATATCTTCTCATTTTTTTGACACGGTGATTATTTCCCATTGTTTTGCATACTTTGTTTGTTCAGTCAATCACTATTTTTCCTATTTCTGAATTCATTTTATTAAAATTACCAGTAATAGTGTTATTTGTCAATCGCACACAGTTTGTATAATTCCATTCCCAGCTGTCTATATAAGTGCACAACTTGTTTCACCATTATCATTGAAAACATTTCTTTTATTCAGAGTTGCATATCCTATCGAAAATTTGATTCTCTGTATGTTCTTCTAACATCATAGCTTCACTGTACAACTGATTTCACTCTGCATTATTATTTTTTTTTTTATTATTAGTCCCTTGGGTTCCTAGTGGAACATAGGGCTTCAGTAGCACGCCTCCAGTGACCTCTGTTCTCTGAGATCTTTTGAACCTGGTCCCACGACAGCCCAGAAGCTCTCATTTCCTGCTCGCACGACCTCCTCCATGTCACCCTCGGACGTCCAACTCGTCGCTTCCCATGGGGATTCCACTCGAGGGCCTGACGCGTGATGTCCTCCGTCGGCCTTCTCAGTGCATGGCCAATCCATCTCCACTTCTTCCTGCATATTTGTTGCGTGATAGGTTCTTGGTTGGTTCGTTCCCAGAGTTCCTTGTTGCTTATTTTTTCTGGCCATCTGATCTTCAGCAGCGAGCGTAAGCAGTTGTTGATGAATGTCTGTAGTTTATTGGAAATACCTTTCGTGACGCGCCAAGTCTCTGAGCCATACAGAAGCACTGACTTGACGTTGGTGTTGAAAATCCGTATCTTGTTCCGCATGCTGAGTGCAGAAGATCTCCACACTGGTTTCAGGCTAATGAACGCCTGTCTTGCTTTTCCGATTCTGACTTTGACGTCCTCGTCCGTCCCGCCTGTAGTTGAAACAGTGCTTCCTAGATAAGTGAAGGAGGTTACTTCCTTCAAGTTTCTCCCGTTGACGGTGATTGGAGTTTGTTGTTGTTGTTGTTGTTGATGGTGGTGGTGCGGTATCTTCATCACTTCTGTCTTCTCTATATTCACCTGAAGTCCCGTCTTCGCTGCCTCTTCTATCAACTTGTTAGTTTTTGCCTGCAGATCTTCAAGTTTATGTGACATTAGGCATAAGTCATCGGCGAAATCCAAGTCTTCTAGGTTCTTTTCCGTCGTCCAGTGTATCCCCCTCTTCTCGCTGCCTACTGTTTGCTGCATGATCCAGTCCACCACAATCAAGAATATCATGGGGGATAGTAGGCAACCTTGTTTCACTCCTGTCTTCACTTCAAAGGCATCACTGAGCTTCCCATTGTGGATTACTTGGCATGTAGCATCTTCATATAGTTGTTGAATGAGGCGGATAAAGGTTTGCGGTACTCCGTAGTATTGAAGCAGTTTCCAAATTACTTCTCGGTCGACGCTGTCAAAGGCCTTCTCAAAGTCGATGAAGTTGAGGTGGAGAGGTGATTGCCATTCTATGCTCTGTTCTATGATGATGCGAAGCGTTGCAATTTGGTCTGCACATGATTTGTACTTCCTGAAGCCTGCCTGTTCCGGTCGTAGTTTTGAATCCAGTGCATCCCTTAGCCTCTCCAGGATGATGCGGCTTAATATTTTACTTGGGGTGGACAGGAGAGTGATTCCGCGCCAGTTCTTGCAAGCACTGAGGTCTCCCTTCTTCGGCAGTTTGACAAGGTAACCCTTCTTCCAATCGTCAGGTACCTTCTCTTCCTTCCACACCTTCTGCAATAGTGGTGTGAGCATGTCCGCTGTTGTCTCTGCATCTGTTCTCAGTGCTTCTGGCGGTATTCCATCTGGTCCTGCTGCTTTCCCGCATTTCAGTAGCTTTATGGCGTTCAGGACTTCCATTTTCGTTGGGGGATTAATGTTCACTTGTAGTTCAGCGGCTGCAGGTGGTATTTCTGGACGAAGTGCAGGTGGTGGTCGATTCAAGAGCTTCTTGAAGTGGTCGGCCCATCGTTTCCTCTGTTTCTCTTCTTTTGTAATTAAATTTCCTTCTTCATCTTTTATTGGTTTCATCTGTGTTGGTCTCTTCCCTGATAGCAACCTGGTTATTTGATACAATGTCGTCAGGTCTCTCTTACCTGCAGCCTGTTCTGCTTCACTTGCCAGTGTTTCGTAGAAGTGTCTTTTGTCTTTGCGTGCACTCTTCTTCACTTCTTTGTCCAGTGTTTTATACATTGTGCTCAGTTCCTCTTGTCGTTGAGCATCCTTGCACTGGTTTATCTTCTGCTTCACCATCCTCCTCTCCTCTATCAGCTTCCAGGTATCCGTCGAGATCCATTCCTTGTCTTCTTTCTTCTTCCTTCCTAATACTGTTGTGCAGGTTTCTTTCCACATAGCTTTCAAAGACTTCCAGTGTTCTTCCACACAGGTTTCTTCAGGGATGTTCCTCGATATCTCCCATTTTGTCTTGATGGCTGCCTTGAAGATCTCCTTTGTAGTTTCATCCTTCAGTTTCCGAGTGTTGTACTTGAGTTGAGGTCTATCACCAGCTTCCTTGAAGGCTTTTAACTTGATTTGGAAGGTTCCTTGCACTAGATAGTGGTCTGAACCTACATCTGCTCCTCTTCTTGACCTTGTGTTAAGTAGACTGCGTCTCCATTTTCTTGAGATTGAGATAAAGTCGATTTGATTTTTAGTGTGTCCATCTGGTGAAATCCATGTCGCTTTGTGGATATCTTTGTGCCTGAACACACTGCCTCCAATCACCAAATCGTTGAATGCGCAGAATTCTGCAAACAATTCTCCATTCTCATTCATTTCACCTAGTGCCTCTCGACCCATGGTTAGTTCTCTTCCCGTGTTGTCCCCTCCCAGTTTGGCATTCATGTCGCCCATTAGAATTTTGATATCGCCAACTGACGTCTTGTCCAGTGTTGATTGAAGTTGTCTGTAGAAATCCTCCTTTTTCTCTTGCTCTGCATTATTTGTAGGTGCATAACATTGTATGATTGTGACCTTTCTTCCTTTTGAGTTGAATCTTGCTGTCATGATCCTGGAGGAGATTGGTTCCCACTGCATGAGAGCCTTCGATGCTCTTGAGGACATCATGATAGCCACTCCCTCAGTGTGCTCGTGGTTGGCGTCTGGGTGACCGGAGTAGATTATTGATTCTCCAGTTGACAGTTTGGAGAGTCCACTCCCATTCCATCTGCTTTCGCAAATCCCAAGCACTTCGATGTTATACCTTCTCATCTCCCTTGCAATCTGGGCTGCCTTACTGGGTTCAAACATCGTGCGGACATTCCATGTCCCCACGTTTACTTTCGCTTTCATCGAGAGAGAAGACACATCGGCCAATTGGCTTCCCGAAGGCTTTCACCAACTGGCGTCATTTCGCCTCTCCGATTCCAGCGGGGAATAAGTTTGTTTTCATTTTTTATATTTTGTTTGTGCTTTGAAGTTTCTTTAGCGGTTAGATTTGTTTTACGGGGTAGGGTTGCTAGCCCTATGCCCAACCTTCCCTCTTTACCCGGGCTTAGGACCGGCTAGTAACTAGTAAACTAGTTAACCAGGCGAGGTTTCACTCTGCATTAGTTACTGGTTTATTCTAGGCTATTTGTAGCTATAGGGGAAGTTACCGAACGATGTGGGCTTATTTTATTCAGTAAATCTTGTCTTATTTACTTCAGAAAAATTTATCAGTGGAGGATAGCGTATTTAGTCTCTTACCTCCTAATGGCTTAAATTCTTGAAATGGTTGTATTGTATATTTGAAGCATTTTTGATTCTAAGTTTGGAACTACGAAGGATATTCTCAATTGTTTCTGGTTTGAGGGATACAGTATACGATAGCCGTAAGTATCGAACATAGACATAGTCTTTCGTATCATTAGTTACTCTTTAAGCATTAAATATTTAAGTTTGCCAACTTCATACATTCTGATAGCTGAAATTATGTTGTCTTTCACTATTTTGACAAAAAGACAAAACAGTTACCATGTTAGACCCGATTCAAATCTGTCACATTAAGTATGAAATGACCGTTAAGTATTTCAGGAAACCGTTGGTAGATTCAGATACCATTTGAAGGAATAGAACGCTTTTATAAAGGAATTGTGATTAATATTCATCTTAGTGACTAGCAGTGGAATCCAGGACGCGCTTTTTGTCCTATCTGGGACCCGTCAGTTGGATGTACATGCACCCCAGTGAATGATGTTGTTTCAGCTGCCCATCTACCAATAGAGGCCGATCAGTTTGGCTCTGGTATACCAACGGGAAATTAGAAGTATCAAAACAGCAATGATTGTGATTAAGTTTATGACTCTTGATAAGACACAGTGCTTTATTACAGTAGAAAGTAAATCGATAATTGCTAAAAAAAATTTTGCAATTTATAGTATTATCAGTCTGTTTGCTTACTTTCAATATTGTTATTAAGTGAATTGTCTTAACTTTAAGCTATCACTATAAGAATTTTGGAGTCTAGGGAATAAAGAGGGTGTTTCTATCTGATTAAAGTATCACTGAAGTTGAAACCGATATTTCTGTATATAAAAAACTACTCTTTATAAATTGTTAAATGAAAATGGTACATGCCGCTACGCATGAATCATCGTTACACTGAAACAAAATTATATTACCAAAATCCGAATTATGAGAGATGAATATTGTTAGAATGACTTAGCCTAGTTGGCTACCGTCAAGGTAAGGGGTGGCTTGGTATGCACAGTACACGTCTAAGTCGACTATGGTTCACAACATCAATCAACTTGCCTGTCTTGCATAGTACCCTTCGCCTGATCTCAACATTGCTCACACGATAATTCCACGAAACGTGAGCAGTGGTATCAAGACATCTATTCTATTTCTTAACGATCATGTCTCAGCTGACTTCAGGGATTGTGTATGTACCCCAACTTTTTGTTACTTATCATTATACATGTCCAGTTTAAGCAGAGAATTGAGATGAACCTGTAATTTGGATAATGGTGTAGTCGTTCACATTTTGAGTCTTCGATACGCTGATTGAAAGTCGGTCGCCTTGTCCAGCTGACTCCCCCTTCATGATTTCAAAAGCGATAGCGCCGATTCCTGTTACAGGCAGTTAATTCGTTAGACACTAACAATGTCTGCAACTCATTAGTCTCCTTTAATCACACACATCTCGTACTTTAGCATAAATCTATCTATGTAAACTTCTTACGTTTCTGGATTCAAATATCGAAGTGTACTAGGTAACCACGTGCACTTTTGTGGAGTAGGCTGTGAGCTACAACTTTTGTGTAAGGGCTAATAATGGCTGAGTGGGTGTCCAGACTTTCCTAGGTAGATTGGAGTGACGTGACGCAGTGAGTGATAGTCGATTGTTTATACCGATGAGCCATAGCTCTATAGCTATATATTCACTAGTCTTTCTAAATTGAATTATTTGGTGTGGTATTCAGGGACTTCCTCAATCTTCCAGTGTGATACATCATAGATTAATAAAAATTTGCATTGCATACCGTTGAACAAATAGAGCAGTCTGTGATATGAATGTTTCAGTTTACTGTGGTACTCATGATGGAGCCTCACAGTGGAGTAGTCAGTAGTAGTATGGGGACTCCATTATCGCCTTCATCTATGAATGTTGTAGTCACTCTCATCGATTTTCAGCCCATTAGGGTGATAGATAGTCAAAAATATGGTGGTTTCAAGTAAATTCTACTTTTGAATTAGATGTGCTCAAAAATAACTAGCTTACATTCTAATAATGAACTGATATTTTATTGAACTATCTAGTCATTAACAATATATTACAATGAGAAAGCATATGCTCATTATGTAATCATAACTATTATAAAATGATATCTAGTACTTTTACTTACTTTTTTAGCTATCGAATTGTAGCTGTTGATCATGATTTAGTTTCATTTGTTGATGTGGTTAAATCAACTAAAAATAGTGGAGTTACTGAATGGCCAATCATTTTAATTACAAATCCAAAGAATTCTCAATTTCTATTGCCTAATAAAGAACCTGTTGATAGGATCAAATCATCCACACATATAAGGTAAGTGAGAAGAAGAAAAAAAAACTCCTTTGAAAGAAATTAATTACCTTATCCAGCGTTCACATGGACTAACTTCAGGATGGATCTACTGGTGTGTTTTTTTTTCAGAAATCGTGTCTTTTGGGATGAATTTTATTTGCTGGTTCTAAGGACAGATACTCACTAGTGATATTAGATAGAGGGTAACAAAGCCACAATAATAGATTCTAACTTGTTGACTGAATAAGGAGATTTCATCTTAGAATCAATTACGTATACGGTTTTTGATATACACTGCTGCTTTTCAGAGCAGAATAAAGCATCTGTGCAGTACTCTTTTTTCTTTATTAGTTCTCGGACTGATGTCAATCCCTGATGAAAGCTATTTTTGCTATTATCCTATGCAGTTAGGCTATTTTCACTGTATGTAGTATTATGAAAGCACCTATTTGACGTTTAAAAAATAGTTATAATGCAATTATTGAGAATGACCCTATGTATTAACATAGGTTTTCAGAATGCCATCTTTTAAGGTAGTAAGTATGAGGACTGGCATTCGAGACTGATGCTGAAAAGAGCAGTCAGTTGAGTTATCCTATTAAATTTCTGATAGCGATGGTTAGCTGAACCCAGATTCACCTATTCTGGCCTGGAGAGTCAGGTATTCTTACACAATAATAGCGTAGTGCATCAATTGGGGGCTAATATCACCTGTGAACTGGTTTGATAACGATAATCGGCATGGTTAACTGATCGTTGCATATTGAAGGTCATGAACTATGTCTTCTGTCAATCAAACTCATCATCGTATTATCAATATCGAAAACGTATAGTCCTGACTGTTTGGGATAATATTATTGATGAATTCATCACTACTTCCAAGCTATGTTAACGAACTTTGACATTGGAATTTAACTAACAAACCTATTACTACACTAATTACTCATTTTTTAGTGAACCTTGGTGTTAACAAGATCCTATCAGTTATGGTTGTTTGCATATAACTAGCAGATTACAAAATGATGTGTTGCATTTTGTTTATTGTTGAATATATTGAAAACAGTCGGTAGATATACTGTATCCAAGTCGGTGCATTTTGAAGTCTTTGGTGGTCGGATACGGAATCGAATCGTAATTTACTCAACTGCCTTGTGTACAATCGTGTAGTAGACAATGGGCCACTTCTAGTTTTTGAGGGCTATTCATAATATACAGCTGCCCAACCTCCATAGGTGGAGCTATATTTGAACCCGTGACTTACTGGTTGAAAGTCAACTCTCTAAAACCAACGCAACGGTTAATTGAATGATAGAAAGTGTATGTTTGAATATAGATTAGGTGCTTTAAATAGTTAGTAAGCTGAAGTTTTTATTGACTTTTTTGATGGTAGTTGAAAAAGTTATCAATAGCAGCAAAAAACGACTTTACATGGTGAAAATTATTTGGAAGAATAGGACTTGGTTAAAAAATTATTAGTTTTACATTTCTAAATAAGTAAATCAAGATGCCAGGAACACTAGTTGACTGATTTGTAGGTCGATGGAGGCAGCCAGTAAGAAAGCTCACCAGAAAGACGACGATATTAAGTCACTCGTTATGTATTGCACAAAAGTATATTCCAGTCGTTTTTCCATAGATCATAGTTTCTGATCAAATCCTGTGTAAGAAACATTGTACTCATAGACGAGATGAGTGCGAGCAACAACCAGTCGACAAGTAGAATAACCTTAACTTCACCTTTTTGTTCTCTCTCATTCGCTCATATTCTGACCATATCATCTACGCTTTTTAGGTTTTGTACATTTCCCATAGATTTTGTGAAGTACACTTCTGTTCGCTATAGGCTAGCCAAATGCAATTTTGTCTTCTCTTTGAGCTACGGTTGTATTGTAGTGGGCGCTGCTGAGAAGAATGGATATAAGTAGTATATACTGAGAGGGTGACAGAAATCATAGGGAATTACCGTCAGTGGGTAAATATTCCACCTAGAGAAATGCGAAAGACAATGTGGGCGTATTAAGATCAAATCAAGATGGAAGCAGAAGATGAAATGAAGCACATTGTACAAATGACGGTCTTAGTGGAAAGTGTACAATATTTGAGGACTACCGTACAAGATGTCAGTAATGAATATCCATTCTGATCAACAGCGCCCACTACAGTACGACTTTTGTGTTAGTAGGAGCAAATCTGAATATGCAAACCAGCGCATTATTAGATAGAACCAGTGTTTTATAATTCCTTCAAACCGTTAATCGTAGGACCTAACTTGGAAAATCTAATCATTAACTGGGACCACATCATCAGGTCAAAAAAATAAGACACCATATTTCTTAATCTTCTTGTTCAATAAATGTGTTCAAAGAATAAAGCAGTGATAGTATATGAACAAAATTTTTGTACCAACCGATAGACGGAGTTTTCGAGCGTAACTCGCTAACAGTTGTACTTGAACATCTTTATAGAATGTAACTCATGGTTAGCTTAATCTTATGTGAAAGTAAACATACCTTGATGTGATTATGGACAGTAAATTGTGATCAGAATGGCATCCAATAAATAATTCTATACCATCGTGCTGTATGAAATGAGCTGAAAGTAATATGTTAAGGTTCACATTATGAAAATGCAATGTAGTCATTCAACTTACTTCAGTCATGTCAAAAATGCGAATTCTTGCTTCGCTTTTTCGTCTGTGGATATTCAGGTAGTATTATTTGTGCTCAGTCTACAGGTTCCATTCATTTGCCTATGCATTAACTGTGAGTAAACTTCGAACCAAATGAAGTTAACTATTCCCCCTATTCAAATAGGAAATTCATTTTTCTTAGCACAAGGATACAACAGTATGCATCAGTATGTCAAATACTGTTTTCCTTGGAAATATTCCATTATTTCGACTCATTATCTATCGGTAGAGCCTTAATTTATGCATACTTTCCCATCTTATTATGTGAAAATGATAGTATTGAGCTTTGAAGTATGTTAGGGATGCCTAATCCCTTAGAAAAACTAACCTATTATATGGAGGTAATATTCATCACGGAATGATATCAATTGGGAAACCATTGAAAATCTGGGAGTACTGGACAGATGTTTCGTCCTAGTATGGGGCTCCTCAGCAGTATGCACTCACGACTTGGCTAGGGATCGAACTCAGGATATTCAGGTTTCGCGGCGAACTCGTTTCTAATGATTCCCTAAATGATGTCAGTCCGTGATGAATACTACCTCTAATTTAAAAATCACCATTCATCTCAAGAAATACATAACTTATAATATGTTTACATTATCATTATAAAATACAAACGTTATTTTCGCACTCTTTTTGCTCCATGCTACTTACTTTTACTGCAGTTTCGGATACTAAACGCTCATTGGTCCATTTTAAACTTTTAATATGCTATTTTGTTTTTCCTGGCCAAGGCCATCTAAGGATATATAAACAACTGAGTTTTCAGCTATGATTATTTGGTTGAAATAAATGTACTTCCAATCCCGTTGTCTCTTCTTCTTCTGGTGTCAGTTGGCTATGGGATTGAGAAGTCATTGTTCTATCGTAATCATATCGCGTTGTAGCATTGTATTGTTATGTATACTGTGGATCAGAGTATAGATGTGATAGAGTGAATTAATTAGCAGGAGTAGATGATTCTTAGTGTTGTATAGTAGCAGAGATCAAGTGCACTTGATTACTACCTGCTGAATGGTTATATTTTTGTGCTAACCTCCAAGTTGTTAGATCTGTCAAAAAAAAATATTGTGATATTTTGAAAACCACAATGAACTAAACAAAATTTTAACTGATATGTAAATTTGTAATCCAAATAGGAAATAAATCTTATAAGATGAAAGAAATAAGCTTGATTTTGCATAACTTTCGCTTCATGTATGATAACTTAAAAACTTCTATGTTGTATGCAGTTTCTGTATAAAATATCTAGACCCATCTTTTCAGTGCTTAGCGCCTCTTTCTTCATGATTCTCCTATACCATATTACAAGGAATGATTGGTAGAATTCAGTCAGCGCTGAGAACTGAATAGTATGAAGTTGACTACTCTCCAGTGACTAATCAATGTATCCAATCCAATCCTGTATCAGCTCTCTGGAGGTTGCAGATGTGCGTTACTGATGTGTTCTGATCAAAAAGTACGAAACCATGGGTCAAGCAAGGCTTCCTGTTCATTGCGTTCAACCACTTAACATTTCATAGTCTAGTTAACAAAGTAGGTCACTAATGTTTTGATTGAAGTCTTGCAGTCATGCATGTTCACTGGAGAGAGATGACTACCAACCACGACGGTCATGGGTTCGAACCCCACTCCATCTACCGAGGCTTGGGCAACGACATGGTATCACTAGCCCTCATACAATAAAGGTGACTCTTTTCCTACTGCATGAATGTGCACAAGGTGACCGAATGCATTTCGTTCGTTTTGTCGCATATATGGGCATTGAATTCTGTTCTCACCAGAGGTTCTTCTTCAGCGCCAGCTTTCTTTGTATGAATTTAAAGTCCCGATCGGCTTTATGATACGAAACGCCAGATGTTACTTCGCTGACTTTTATTTTTCACATCTACCCTTCTCGTTATTTTTCTCAGCTAATCGTTTTCCTCTCATTTCTAAAGTTATTATCCTTTTGTTCATACTTACTTCTTATGTATCAATGTTCTTGATTTGTGACGAAGTCAAGATATTTCTGTCTTATGAATTGCGCTTATCCATTGCTAAAACAGCAATACCCTTTCATCTTCATTCAGTGTTCATCTGGGGTACTGAAGTTGTTGGTGTCTGATTTTTCAGTGTATATTTTAATGGATGATGCAATATCAGAAACTGATTAAGAAAGTTTGTATAAAGGTAAACAGTTTGTTATCATATTTATCGCATATTGTCGTCAACTTGTATTGAGAAGAGAGGGCCATTTTGCCAGTTAACCATTGGGAATATCTGTCTGATGTTTAAACAGCTGTTATATCATCTTTGAATAAGACTCCATCTATGCAACTGGGAACAATTAAACAGTATTATTATTCTGATCTTAATACATGAGCTTGGATTTGGTCACTGTATCATTTTGCTTATGATTTTATTGTCGTAAAATTATGCTGATTGAGTTCCACTTAATCTAGTTGTCTGTAAACTCGAGCATCTAGTATTTCTGTACATTAGATCACAAGTTTTATTGGTGAAACATACCTCTGAATAGTAGTACATTTAAATTCAATTGATGGTTTTTAGAAATTGATTAGTTTGTAGCTAGTTTTCATCGTAGATTAACATTAGTTGGCGAACCATTAAGAATCTAGGAGTACTGGATAGCCTTTTCATCCTAGTTCATCAAGAGTGCACATTCATGAATCCCTGAAAGATGGACTATCTGATATTATGGCAAGTTCGTTGCGACCACCCTTTAATTTGGTTGGTTCATACACTTTGCTTATAGATTGTCAAAGCTCATAGCGAATTATTGATACCAGGAAGTTTTATGAGAAGTCATATTGCTTTTTTTTTTCTCATTCCATTAATTATCCGATGTTGATTGTTTTAAAAACTTGTATTTAGCTACCAATCCAATAGTATAGTTCCCTATGATTGTCTTATTGGTATTATCACCTATGTAATCAATAGACGTCAGTTACTCAGTGTTTTAGAAAAATACTCGGTAAGCATTTTTGAGTTACGATAATAGTTTTGAGCATGACAACAGTTGTACTCGACTTATTGAAGTCATCTTGGATCACCGGTTTCTATCGTCTAGATATGTTTTATACATTTCTCATCGGCTTTCGGACTGTCCACTTTTTGTGGCTTCTTGGACTGCCTTAAAGATATAGAAACAGTCAGTAAATGATGTGGTACTGGGATTGAAGGGTAGATAGTTGTATTCTTATTGCACATATTACTGAATCATACAATCCAAGTGATTGAATGTGTCAATGACGTAAGATGTCATTATTTACATTTGAGAGTCGAAGTAAATGATAATCATACCGTCGTTTCTTTATATCTCAGTATTCAAAATAAGTAGAAGCCTTTTGAATGCGTCTGACAAGATGGTCAGGTAAATCATGCTTTCATCTCGTTTTTTATCATTCTCCCTATTTTTCTTGTTATAATGTAGAATAAGATTCCCATCGTCTCTGAAATTTGTTACAATTAATCGTGTTACACTGAATTTTCATGATAAAGCATATGGACTAACATGTAAATATCAGATTGGTTGAAGAGACAAAAATGAATAGGATATTCTAATCTTGAAAGGCTTGAAAATAGTCAAGGCCACTGTAAAAATGTATATAAACCCACTATATTTTGTATTTATTTTTGACGTCACAATACACCTGTTATTTTACCGCCTTTCCCATTTACCGATAAACTGACCAACCATCAAGAAGGCGGAATCTGAAGGTTATATATATATATATATATATATATATATATATATATATATATATATATATATATATATATATATATATTCAGTAATTAGTTTGCTTGAAGTGAAATGCAAATTAAATTTATCTGACCTTCCTTTATCTAGTCTAACAGGGTTAGAAAATTGAATTATGTAGGCTGAAATGAGTCTTGCTCAAACCTGATAAGTTTGAGTACATTCATTGTTTTATATGTTATCACCGCTGAAAAATGGAAGTACATTGAATTTTACTTTGATTTTCTCTACAGTGTTTTTATTATTATTATTATTATAAACTTTTGTAATCAATTTCTTCGGAAGGTTGATAACAGTCTGCGAGTACGTTCTTTTCAAAATTTTGATTGAATTTTAAAGGTAAGATGGACCTCTGTCACGGCCCAGTTTTTTTTTTGTCAACAACTATCACCACCTAATTACACTTGGACGAAACATCTGAACTACACGTTTTTAAAATAATTTTATCAATTTTTTTCCTTCAGAATCTTAGTTTGGTCAAAATGGCCAATACAGTCAGTTTCTGTAAAAATTAATGATATTTTTCAAGGATATGCTCAACCGGCCACATTAGTTGACGATGATACTATAACACCCACCACACAGTCACCATTATACATTCTATCCTGGAACCCATCGCAGTGGTCAGATGCGTCTCACTCCTTTCATACAATCGAAGTTACAGCTAAGGTGAGTGAACTATATTGTGAACTGATTTATAGTTTACATCTAAAAAAATAGTTAGCATTGGTTTGACGTTTTAGGCATCGGAATACTACTTGTAAGAATGTATTCATTAGTTGCGTGAAGGTCACGTATCATATCGTCTTAGGTATACTTCTTATTGCCTTTTAACACTCTTTTGCAAGAACTAGGTATGAATGCCTAGGGGTATGTATTTTCTTTCATCATTTAAACATGTTTGGTTAAACGCTACACTGAGAGATTCAATTAATACATTTAGTCATTTTAGCTGCTTGTAAACAGGTCCCGTTTGTACCATTTGGTTATTATTAGTAGTCATGATCCTATTATAATTCTTGTAAGGAACATGATGTGTAGTCAGATAGCATAAAGATTTATTTTAGATGTGTACTGCTTTCGGTAGTAGATTTATAGCAGTTGTGTCGTATCATGAGTTGAACAAGATTGGAAATCTTACCTATGAGTTTCCAATGTAACCATTTCACAAGACTGATTAAGAAAATAGTCATAGATATACATTTTTGACACTGCAAAGACTTGTTCTTTACCTATTCTCTGCATGAAAAAATTCTTTAGGACTTACTTTTCACTACTTGAAAGCCTGATCTGTATGCTGAATGTAATTATCGGTTTATTATTGTCTCAAAACATGTAGTAAGTATTTTCGAATTGTCTGTGTTATTATGATTTTGCTTGTATTATCCCAGGATAACACAAGTGCCTATCGTGACTCGGTAGGCTAGTAGATGACGCTCTAGCGTGTGAAGCGACCTGTCTGCAGTTCGAGTTTCAGTGGTAACAACATTGCAGGAGGTAAATCTAGCTGACGAGTCATAGATAGGACGAAATGTGTATCCTCGACTCCACTTCTAAGCATCATTCATCATTAATGTCTGTGTTTTTGTCGATATTCTTAAAGAAAATGTATCTTAACTGTAAGTGGACTGTTAAGTGATGATTTTGACTGTACATCTTTCAATGGCATCTTCATGCCATGCATTAAGTTCAGCTGAGAGTACATCTCTTTCTGCATTTCTATTCTTTGGTTTACAAATAAATACAACTATTTGAGAATTTACATTATCAGCTGCTGTATATAAAGAAGTATTTTAAAACAATTCTAGGTATACTCTTGATTAAAGCTTCAACTTTAGGCATGACAGATAATCTACTGTTGTATTAGAGTCTTTCAAAATAGCTTTTTAGGTGTGAAGCGTGTTATTTTCCGGTTTTACTTAATTTACTTTCTCTAGAAATATTGAAGGGTCACGAATATTCTGTGTGTCCATAGGTACGTATGATTTTATCAACAAATAGCCAATGAATGTAGCTTTTTCTCTCAATTGTATGCATTTCTATAAAGTCCATACTCTCTTATGTGATGGAGCTGTGATCACTTTCTGTTAGATTCATTCTGTAACTTTTTAAAGTATGTCTATACACCATTAATTGTTTATTACTTTACTACTACCTTTCAGGATACATTTGGTAATCAGCGTACAGTTACTCAACCATTTAGTTTTCAAGATCCTACTGAATTCAAAACTGGGTTTCTATCGAGATATTTTATTTCAACTAATTTATCAACTAGTGTAAGTTGTACAATAACATTAATCTCTGTGATACAACTTCATATTCAGTCAGCCAACCTTTAGTTAAATATCTTAACTTGCGCTTATATATTATCTTCGTATTCATAGAATTGAATCATTCGATCGTAAAGCTTTCTTACTGTTCATTTCGATAAAAAAAAGCTGACTTCATACTTCATGAGAATCTGACACTAGTTACTTTTCTCATTCTTCAGTAACATTGGATATTTTGATAGCTTTTTAGCTAACCAGGTTACATTACTCGGTTGATAAATAACTCCCATTAAAAACAACAATATGTTCTATTTTGTGCTGTTTCACCAACTGTAACTAATGAGTTTTATCGATGATAATGAATGCTACGCTTTTATTAGGATCTACCGTTATCTCTTTCTTATGAATATATATATATATATATATATATATATATATATATATATATATATATATATATATATATATATGGAAAGCTGTAGAGATGAGTTCGACTGAGGATACTAAACGAATTCTGCGAAATATCAAAGTTTTTCTAGAAGATCTAAGATTTAGGACGAGCCATTATCGATAGATGCTTGAAAACATAAATTGAATTAGCTAAACAACCAAACTAGGAACATGCTATCGTTGGTTGTCAAATACTTGTAACGGTTAATAGAGAAATATGAAGCCAGTCAATTATTAATAATACTTTCAGAGCAACCACCAATGGTTAGGAATAAGGTATTATCCGAAATGTGTGAAAGTAATGATAGCCTAACTTCCTTTAGAGAATTTATCTGAAGATTTAAAGAGTGCTGTTGGATTCTTAACGATAAACTGTTAAGCTAGAAATGTCTAAAATCATGAAAACACATGCAGAAAACTACACATTTTCACACAGATATTTTTGAATTTTATCTACTGGTTAAACATAAGTAACTATACAGTTCCTTATTAGATTTCTTTATTTGATATACAGCATATAGAGTGATACAGTATTACTTACTTGATGACGTTTCCAGCATAAGTTATCATCGTTCATAATCATATCAATGTAATCACACTTTCAGCAACCAATTTTTATAGTTCTGTCACTTTATTTCCTTGTTTTTATTGATAGTAACATTTTACAGATCTCTGGTATAGGTGTTACATCATTTCTATTACATGTGTTGGGTGTTGGTTGATTCGATGAACAAAGTTTCAGTAATCAATCTTCCTAACTCTTCACTTGATTATATTGGACTTAAGTATAGTGGTTTTATCCCACCCTATTGCGTGCTTGTATGTTAATGCATGAGTGCATTGCATTAGTCGAGGTTTTTTTCTCTAGATTATCGATCTTATTTGGGTTTGTCATTCTATATTCATCTAAATTCGTATGTTCCGATAATCTAACTGACTCCGATCAGCTACTTTAACCCATGTGGATGGCCACAATTATTATGGGGAATCTCGTAGATCCAATTATTTGGTTTACCTGGATCTATAGGATCCTTAAGCCAGCCAACGAAGATTATCTCTGAGTGAGTTTGTAAGTTTAAATGCCACCCTAATTCCAGCCTTGTTGAGGATCCTGCGTAAATTTTCTGATGTACCCTACTGTTTATCATTTTTTAAATATTTCCCTTGAGTTCCTAGTGGAACATAGGGCCTCAGTAGCATGTCTCCACTTCACTCTGTTCTCTCTGGTCTTCACCTAAATTCATGACTGTTTAAAAGCTTTCACTTCTCCCTCACACGATCTCCTCCATGTCACCCTCGAACGCCCAACTCCTCGTTTCCCTTTTGGGTTCCACTCGAGAGCGTGACCTGGCGCGTGATGTCCGCAAATGGTGTTCTCAGTGTATGCCCCAATCCAATCCATCTCCACTTTTATTTGAGAATTTGTTAAGTGGTTGCTAGAATTCCTTGTTGCTTATTATTTCTGGTCATCTGATCTTCAGTATCGAGCGTAGGCAGCTGTTGATGATGTATATCTGCAGTCTGTTGGAAATGCTTTTCGTGACACGCCAAGTTTCTGAACCATATAAAGGCACTGACTTAACTGATTTATATTAAAAAAATCCTGATCTTGTTCACGCTTTATGCTGAGTGCAGTAGACCTCCACACTAATTTCAGACTAATGAAAGAATTCCTGTCTTGCTCTTTCCGATCCTGGCTTTGACATCTCATCTGTGCCGCCCCCTGCAGTTGAAACGATGCTGTCCAGGTAGGTGGAAGAGACTACTTCCTTTAGATTTCTCCCGTTGATGGGGATTGGTGTTTGCTGTTGTTAGGTGTCTTCATCACCTGTCTTCTCTACCTTCACCTGAAGGAAGTCCCGTCTTCGCTGCCCTGTCTCACCTGACAACATGTTGGTTTTCGCCTGTAGATCTTCGAGTTTGTGCGACATTAGACATAAATCATCATCATCGGCGGCGAAATCCAAATCTTCTTCTGGGGTTTTTTCATCGATCCCGCCAACGTATGCCCATCTTCCAACAGTTTGTTGCATGATCCAGTCCGGTCCAGCGACCAGGACCAAGAAGATCATCGGTGATAGTAGGTGGCAACCTGTTTTGTCTTACTCTTGTCTTCACTTCAAAGGCATCACTAAGCTTTCCATTGGGAATCAAATGACATATAACATCATATAGCATGTGGTTGCTGTTGAATGAGGTTGGTGAATGTTTGTGGCACTAAAACCGTAGCGTTGAAGCAGCTACCTGTCAAATCACTTGTCGGTCGACGCTGTCATAGGCTTTTTCAAAGTGGATAAGAAGTTGAGGTAGAGAGTTGACTGGCATTCTATGCTCTGTTGTATGGTGATGCGTAGGGTAGCGTTGCAATATGATCCACAGATGATTTGTTCTTCCTGAGTGATTGAAATTCAATAGCTAGCACACCTGAAGAGTCAACGCCAAAGTTGTTCATATACGAAACTTAAGTTGCAAACTGTCAGTATGCATCACTGAAGATGGGGCATAGGTAACTAAGTAAACAGTGCTCACTACATAATTGACTTTCTACTAACCATTCATAGTCACCAAAACACCGTCCAAGTACACACACACACACACACACACACACACACACACACCACAATTTGATGCTACAGAATACTTGATCTATGAAACTGATAACGAAATCAAGTGACGATGATGAAATGCACTCAGAAACCCTGTGTGTAATCATGAAGATGATGAGACAGCTAATGATAGAATCTAACAGCACAAACAAAACTCAATAGGTGGAGGGGTGTTGGAACACACAACCCATCGGTTGAAAGTCATCTTTCTAAACCTATGAGTCACAGTATGCAAATACTAACGTACTTTTAAACTAGAACTTTATTGACCTATCCAATGTGATCACCGTAAGTGTAGCTTATTTCAAACAATTAGGCAGTCATAGTCACTCGTTTGACACCTTTTACAATCGATTTCAGTGACTGGTAGTAACAAATAAAATAAACGATGAGGATGGTAACAACAACAGTTTACATGCCAATGAAACCAAACATTTTAAAATGAAATAATTAAATAGAAAAATTAACTAATAAAATAAACCATACACATAGCATCTGAAAACTATTTAGTACACTGATAAATTATAATTTGTGGAAACCAGACAAACCAGTTAGGACTCATCCGATGCGATAACAAAAAAAACAAACAGAAGAACAAAGGCAACAAAAATGATAAAGAATAAAAATCATAACAACTTTTTTCGCAAAACTATAAATAATAAACCATATTCAGTAATCATTACACAAATATGTACACAAACACAACATATTGAAGAATATGTATGACCACTTTCTCAATCCTTTTATTAAATATCGAAAGACAATGGGTGATAAGGTAATGAATTCAACAAGTCGACGGTTATCACAGTTGATTCAAGATGATGTAAAGCAAGTCAATGATTAAAGTTATAAAAATTATTTTTAAAAATGACTGGTGAATTATGTTATGCACTTATGCACCATATGTTGTGTCAATTACTGGGCAGAATGTTTAACATGATCAGGTTGTGGACAAAAAATAAACAGAAGCCATGAAACAATGATAGGCAATATACAACCAGGACTTAATAGAAATGCTATAAAGCCATATGGGAACCAGATAAAAATCAAAGCAGCAACTAATTGACTGAATGTATGAACAACTAATGCAATAAGTATACATCGAGAAGAATTACTTTTAATTTGAATGTGAAATCGACTAAAACGAATTCCACCTCTATTACTGGTACGAAGAGAATTATCTGAATATTGTGTTATTTGTTCTTTATCCAAAGAAGTAATTGGATCAAATTGTCGTTTACCACAATGTATAGAAAATGATAACAAGAAGATGAAAAGCAGGAGCAGCTGTAAACAAAACAACACACAGATGATACAAATTATCTGAGAGGAAGAATATATGGAAATTACTAACTGACAGAAACTTTCATACAGTAAAACATTTGATAGACTAACTTGATGGACGTTAGCTGACCAAAAATTTCAATATAATTTAATCTACCATTAGTTTCCAGTTCATATTCATATTTGTTAACTGTGTAGACTTCTGGAAAACAGTGAGTATACCAAAGGTATGACTCTGTTTACAACCGATTAAAATTACTTTACTGAAGATGTCTGATAAAAGAAACAGCTTTCAGTGGATATCCTCGAAATAGCTTAACTAGCTCAATTTCTACTCTCGATTAGTATTCCATTCAATTGAACTAGATACATACTGATATTGATGCAATTATTTTACCAGTCAGCTTGAAAACACAAAATATGCCATATTTTCGCACACTGGAGTGGTTAACAGGACAATACAACTAAACAAGCATAATGTTTTTAGAATAACTGACAATACTTATAGATGTTGGAGTATGTTATTGATTTCAGGTTGGTATTCACCATGGACTGACATTAGTTGGAGATAAATTAGAAACCTTGGGTGCGGAAAAGCTTTTATATTACTATCACTATACCTTTCAGAATAGTATACAAATACATACATAAATATTGCAGCGTATATTTGCTTCAGTTTATTAAGCTCATTATCTGAATGTGCTCTGACAACAGCATTTGTCTGTTTGTTGTATGCCTTTTCGTCTTTCTCACTTATTGTAACTGTCTGCAGTCATCATCTTCACTATCTCCGCACAAATTTGATTTTCCCCGTTTTATCATATGTGAAGAAAACCTCAGTCTTAATCAGAATATGTAAATCTTTTTTCTGTTATTTTTTTTTCTAACACTTGTGTATTTTACAGGTGTAAACTTTGAACGTAGTTCGATATTAAGTTTTTCTATTTGGTGTAGCACACAATGATACAGTATTATTTGCCTCTTGATGTTTCAAGCATAAATTTTTGCTCATATTCACATCAAAGTAATCAGACTATTTTCGACACTTAATTTCTATTGTCCTATCATCTCATATTCTTTATATTTTCTGGTAGTAATGTTTTCTGCATCTCTGGTATGCGTATTGCGTCATTCATTCGAGCACATGTATAGCTATGCCTAAATGGATGTGGAAAAACCACATGAACAAAACCTTTTCAAGCACAAGTAAGGCTACTTTTAATAAGCGACTACCTAAACAGTTATAAGAGAAGAAAGAAGTTAACCATCCAGCAGAATCCTGGTCCCATCGCTAGTTTGTTGCTAAAACAGCGTTAAAGACCGTAACCGACTTTTGAAAGTGTTGGTAGGTCTCAGCAGCTTCTTCAGAGTTATTGGATGTGGGTGTATGCCCTCTTTCAGGCTCCGAGCACAACGAGGACTGAAAGCGTTAGATAACAGTAAACAGTTATTCAGACTGGTCAGTGCAACTGGGGAGACAATTTCGATGGTTAGTAATACGACAGCGGAGAAGAATGGGTTTGTGATTCACTCATGTGTCAGACGAATGAGACGATGGGCTGAAAAATTGGAGAAACAGTTTAACTGGCCTACAGTTAATATTCCGTTACCCGCTATTCAGTTGGATCCCAAATGAATCACTTAAGTAGGTCCTCCAACTCCTGCAGAAGTTGAGAAGTGTGTGAGTGATGTCAACCGAAAATGGGTAGCTCAGGCAAACTGACTAGCACGGATGGTTTTTAGGATGGTGCTTGTAGATTACCGGTCAGCGTTAACTAGCCTGCCAGAGGCTGGTGTGATCCCTACTAACGTTTCAATCAATGATTGTCTTAGTCTTCAAGAAAGGTGAGAACCCATGTGATATACCACAGGAGAAATCAAGTTGATGAACATGTTGTCCGAGCATCTAGTTTCCGTAGTTAAAAGACGTCTGAGTAAAGCTCACGAAAAGCAAACCTGAGAAAACCTGACCATGCGTGTAGCCACCGCACATTCACTCTTCTCAAGGTTCTAGAGAACAGTCACAATTCCTGGTGCCTGACAGTAGCTATATTCCTGGATCTTAAAGCGGCTGACAGACTGGTCTAAATCACTGATTATTCCAGTCTTCAAGAAAGGCGAGAAGTCCTCTTGTGATAACCACAGAGAAATCAGTCTGACGAACATAGTATCTAAAATTCTAGATTCTATAATTCTTCGACGCCTGAGTAGAGCTTGGCAACGGCAAGCCTGAAAAAACCAGGCAGGCAGGTTTTAGACTCGCCCTCGGGTATATCGACCAAATATTCACACTGCACCAGGTTCCGGAACACAGACACGCTTACCGACACCCAACACTAGCTGTATTTCTCGACTGATGGCGGAATTCCACTCCGTTGATGGGGAAGTCCTATGGCAATGTCTCTCACTGAAAGGCGTGTCGAGTAAGTACATCATCTCATTGAAGGCTCTCTAATCGAACACTTGAGGGCGTGTTAGAGCCTATCGTGAGATGTCAGGTGAGCTATACCCAGTCAGGGATCGAGCCCAAGAACTTAGGGCTCCGCAGCCAGTGTTGTCATTGAGTCACTAGGGTCAGACAGTTACTCGGTGACGGAACTGGATGGCAGTTGCGTTATAATATGAACCGACAGAAGAACGAAATGTGGAACGTTGGATTCCATCCCTCGCAGGATGATAGGTGTGCACTAGTGAGGAGTCTCATACTAGTACGAAATAGCTGTCCAGTGCTCCCAGGTTTCAAATTCTTCTCCAACTAATGTCAGTCTATGATGAATGTCTACCTGAAATCAATAAATAGATTCCCTACAAACCTCAATATTGAATTCCATTTTTCCTCTATGTTTTATTCATTCAGTAAGATAATGCTTGTTCCAATGTGTGACAAATCTAATAAACAGAACAAAATGAAACGTTTCATTGAACCTGGTTAAGGGGTTATTGGATGAGGTAATCTAAAGTCTAGACATCGAATGTTTGTTCATCGAATCAAAACCCAGCCAACACTTGCCAGTAAGTATGACGCTATACGCGAAATGTGGAGAACTTTGCTACTAATGAGAACAAAGAATGAGTGGCGATACGACTTTAAAAATCAGACTTCGAAAATTGTGTTATGAGACGATCAATACTTGAAATGTTATATGCTAAACAATATTATACCAAGTGAACAAATCGTGTATTGAATTATTTGTGTCTTTTTAGTTGTCTTATCGACCTTGTTTTTCTACCTTTATGGGTTTGAGCAATTGGGTCATTCATATTTTATTTATTTTAGTTCTTCGTCATGTTTCTTAGTTTACAGCTAAAATAAAGTGAAGTTACTTTATTCTGCGAACAACATTGTTCTCTATTCACATGAAAACATTTTACATTTGGTAATTTATAGTCTTGTGTTTTTCTTAATGAGAAGAAATGAACTCTGTAACTGTATCACTTGTTCTGTCAAGTGTTTATTCATTTTGCATATAACGTTATTCATTCTGTGCTCATTTTATGAAGTTGAAGTAATAGAATACATACTCTGAACATCAGATAGTGACTAAACTTTTTCATACATCTCTGTTATTACTTATGGTTATTGGAATTCGGTTTAAACAATAACACGTTGTGTGTGAGAGTATTTGTTTTTAAATGTTATGAATTCACAACCATGCCAACATAGTTAACGCAGTACTGCTCCCTTTTATAGTAAAGGTTTACCTTTCTCTTGAATTGTTGGTAAAATGGAGATTACCTTGTGTTTCTTTCTTCAAATGACTGTTTTGAGTATTCGACAACACAAAGCAGTCTTGCTTTCATGACAGAAGTTGGTTATTGTAAGCCAAATGAATAGATATTATCATCTTGTCTTGTTTATACACCTTAGTATTCTGTAGAGATTTCTACCTTGCCTGTGCTAATTTTCGTCTTTTGTACTGTTCCGTGCATTCTTTTTTGGTCATGACACTGTTTCAAATAGTGAAAACGTGATATATCCATCCAAATGAATGTAGGAACAGGCATTACTGCGTAACATTCTGGGCTGCCACAGCTCACATCAGTACATCAAGTAAAAAGCAGTGAAATGGAAGATGAAGAAAATAAAATTCTGTCAAAAGAAATATAAAGTACCAAAAGAGAGAAAGGGAGAATGAGAAAATGGTGAGATTCGTTATAGCGTTAAGATGAAGATAATGTGTGTATACATCTTCGTCACTGTTATCAATTCTGAGCCATCTCGCCTGGAGTCTCTAACCACTGGTTTTCATGCCCCGTGGACCCCAACCGACTAGTCTGCATAGCCCCACATGACTCCAACCAATATTTAAAGACTTCATACATTGGTTCCATAGTATAGATCTAACAAAAATTCTCCCGCGATTAGGTCAACCTCTATGTAGCCAGCTGATGGGGAGGGGGGGGGGGGGAAGACGTCCATAACAATATCTGTGATAAAATTGAATAAGAATGAAGAAAATGGGCAGTCTCGACGAGCACAGCTCCCCAGACATCTCACGATAGGCTCTAACACGCCCTCAAGTGTTCGATTAGAGAGCCTTCAATGAGATGATGTACTTACTCGACACGCCTTTCAGTGAGAGACATTGCCATAGGACTTCCCCATCAACGGAGTGGAATTCCGCCATCAAGTCGAGAAATACAGCTAGTGTTGGGTGTCGGTAAGCGTGTCTGTGTTCCGGAACCTGGTGCAGTGTGAATATTTGGTCGATATACCCGAGGGCGAGTCTAAAACCTGCCTGCCTGGTTTTTTCAGGCTTGCCGTTGCCAAGCTCTACTCAGGCGTCGAAGAATTATAGAATCTAGAATTTTAGATACTATGTTCGTCAGACTGATTTCTCTGTGGTTATCACAAGAGGACTTCTCGCCTTTCTTGAAGACTGGAATAATCAGTGATTTAGACCAATCACAGGGGATTGTGTTGAATTCCCATATACTAGTTAATACTTTCGTTAACCTGACTAAGACCACTCTAACACTATCCCTTGTATAGACAACGTGATGTAACCTGCTGTCAGTTGTCTGTTCCTCGTGTGTATGTGTTTATTTACGGTTAAATCAGCTATTTTCTCAAATTAATTTAGTTCAGAATAATTATAATAAATAGGTAAAAAGGAACTTCAGAAATATTTGTTAAGAATTCAACCGTTAATATGTACTAAACTTGTCTGAGCAAAAGTCACACCACTGAGAAAAATCGGCTAATGAAGAATGTGGTCTGACTTTGGATATTCCGTATAATTTGCATAGCCTTTACTCTTCATACTTAGCATAGATTTGTGACTAAGTAACATTTATAATTCGTCGAACAACCACCATTGTATTTTAAATACTACGCAGTTCATATATCTATCTTACTGCGAAAGATGAATTAAACTGATTGTTGGACCAGTTTGAAATGGTTATTTATAGCTGTTATTACACAACTTGAAGTTCTTATTTGAGTTACGTCTTTCCAGATATTCTTTCATACAAGTTTTAAGTCAAATTACTGTATCTCTATACAAGTGATATAAGTTATTTGTCGATTTGTTTTTGCACCAACAAACTGTTCAAATAACATTTAATCTTTAGTCATATGTTATTTCTTGGCTAATTGTATATCTCCTCTTTAGGTTGCTGTTCTCTATTATATGTTATGGATACTAATGTGTACCTTTGTTATATTACCTCGATTTTTTCATCGTCCACGTTTCAGTAAGTTAATCGTGTTTAATCTGTGATTGTTGATTTGAACGACATAAGCGTGTTTCTTGGTTAAAACATTACTAATCGCAGAGTTGTATATATGTCCCATTAATGATCATTATTGATATTATTGGAAGTTTTTGAGGACATTAGTCGAGGGTTATTCTTCAGATTAACTGAAGTTTTAGCTAGTGTATTGCAGTCAGATGGTCTGCGTACTCCAGGTACACCAAAGAGTCTTCTCCGATAACACCAATCCCTATAAATTCGAACGAGAAGAGGGAGACCTCCATAAACACACGTAGGACAAAATGAAGAGTTTGGACGTTCTTAACGGACACCACTTGACTCACACAAGCCACCTAATAACTGACTATGGACGCTGATACATTTATAGGTATTGGAATAAAACCCCTTGGTAGTGTTGAAAGGCACTCAGTAATCTTGTTCACGTTTTTACAGTAAACCTATTTTATGTGGGCTAGTGATACTACCTGGATAACCAATCCTTGGTGGGTGGAGCGGGATTCAAATCCGTGACCCACTAGTTGGAAGTCGACTGCCTAAACCAATCACACTGATCTCCATATATATATATATAGATGAACCGTATAATGCTTCAACGCGATGCAATTAACGATAGAATAATAACTTCTCAACACGATATTCAATTGATACTAGAAGAAGAAAACAATAAGATTGAAAGTATATTTACTTCAATAGAATGGTGAGATTATAGCTGAAAATTGAGTCGTCTACACACCTTTTACAGGACTATTGTTAAGGAAAACAAAATAACATTAAAAATGTAAAATAAACCAATCAACTTTCAATATCTTAAACTGTGGTAAAAATAATTAAGATAGCGTAGATCGAAAGGGGCGCGAAAGTAAGATTTAAATTTTACAATGATAATATAAACATAAATTAGTTTTTCAGTGACCAGATATCCCTAAAATTTTCAGTTTCGTTTATCATGTGTATTGTAGAAGAAAATTTAAAAGTGAAGTGAATTATATGCCCCTATCAAAGAAATGAATCAAGATGAAATCTTTTTTGTATTGCAGTGCTCATATTTTACCTTTATATGGAATACTTCCTTAATTTTCTACATATCGTTTTCTTCTAGTTGGCTGTTTATATCGTACAAGACTTGGAAAGGGCATGTATAGGCTGTCTTCAACTAATCGTATACTGTTTGTTGTATTAATATATATGCTGTACAGCATTTCATGTAAGTTAACGGTGTTATTTTCTGTTCGACTTTCACTAACGTTTGTATACAAAAATTGTGTAAGTATTCAACATCGTCCTTAGTTGTCACCCATGCACTGAATATTCATATACCATAGCTTACAGATTCGTTAGGTGACGTCTTCAATGATGACTATACTCCTAACATAGAGATTTGATCAAAATTCTTCAGTTGTTACTGTGAACATAGAATTTAACTGCAGCTACGCTAGTTACCACCAGATGATCCATTTGTGCACTCATGTAGTCCAGTGTTACAGGGGTTTAGTTCTAATTTGAATTACTTAATACTATATTCTCTTCAAGTGATCATCAATGTCACCAAGGTTTCAGTTAAATATGGTTGGTTTGCGGGTTTACATATCAGCCATTAGTCATTCTGATCAAAATCAATCAGTAACTGAAAATTTAAAACTTTAAGAAGTGTTATCTCTAGTCCAGAAAACTAACACTTGGTATAATTGAGACTCATTGGTTTGTAGAGTTGACTTTCACTCAGTGAGTCGCGGGTTCAAAGATCGCTCCACCTACTGAGGTTTTTGTAGCCAGGTAGTAGTATCACTCGGCTGCATACAATTAGTGTGACTCATTCAACTACTGGATGAACGAATGTTAATTATGTTACTGAGTATGTTTTGACTTCAACTTTTCATGTTCTGGTTTAGTTCTGACAAAGAAATTCTCTGTATAAAGTTATTGCATTTGTAGGTAATATAAATTGGTGACACTTATTAGTTGTCAGCAGGCTTATTGTATAATTGATTATAGTAAGACAGAGTTCTTCTGGATAGTTTTTTTTACTAGATAATCGATAAGAACTGAAATCTAACGACGTGAAAAAATGACCATTATCATACACCTATCAGGTCCTACAAAAAAACAGGAGAAAATCTAATACATTTTGATTCTACAAGACTTGATTGATTCGATTAAGTTGATTAGTTTAGAAAATAACTAGGAAGTTATTTAATGAGTTCACCTGAAGTCTATGAATGGTATGAGCCTAAAAGCCTTCCAGAAGTTTAAATTTAACTATACTTCGTAATTTTAAGCGTGAATATTTTAAATTGGTTGATTTGCAAACTAACGTAATGTTTAAAGACATCGAATTCTCTCAACAGTGTTTCAACTTATCGTAATAATCTCGTATCATGATTTCAGCCAACAGAAATATTTTTGAATAAAGCAAAAACAAGAAGAATAGCAGAATTAGTATGCATATATTTCGTGGACTCTCCTCAGCTGCTTTACAACCTCCAGCTGACGAGTCTCAAATAGACAAAACGCGTGCCCTGGATTTCATTACTAGCCATTATCCATCATTAATATAAAATATAATGTTTATAATGAATAATATGTTATACAACGTACTTTAATGAAACGATAATAAAAACGATACAAATTGAAATGGAAGGTAACAAATATTTAGGTTGAACAACATTGATAAAGTTGTTAAAACTAGTTTAAGGGCGAACTATTCATATAGGAATAGAATGAATATTTGACAAAAGGTAGCGAAAAAATTATGTGTGTACTTATATGTAAGTGGGGGGGGGGGGGCTGTGCATATTGTTGTTCTAGAATTATACTGGGTGATGATTGAAGGTGAAATGAATATTTGAACCGCGCTAGATTCGAACCAGCGACACCCGGTTTCCGGCCTGATATTCTACTAACTGAGCTTTAAGCTCCGACCTTTGATCAAAGTTTTATTTCGTAGTAAAAAGGATGTCATGCTTAAGTAAACATGACAAAAGATGAATAGGTTTTCATCATATTGAGAAGTAAGATAAATAAAACTCAGCAAGTGAGAGTAGGTTTGAAATAGATAGAAAAAGTAAGTAACAGAAACACCCAAGAGTGGTGAAATCTTGAACCTACAAATTCAGGTGATTAAAATAAGATAATGCAAAATTGACAACAGTATCTTTTTGAATACATTGATCAGATTTGTGTTTTTTTAATTGCAACTGTAAAAGAGTGGGTTTCCGTTGTTTATTGATCACTTTGAATGACTTCAATATGTCGACTTTATGTCCAGTATCAAACAAACGTCGAGCGATTACACTTCTTCAACCTTAGGAACGCTTAAGACTTAAAACCTTCGAGATATGTTCAGATATGTGGACACAAATCCTTTTGTCTGTTCTTCCAATGCATATGCTTTAGCACGTACATGTGAATCGGTAGATAGAGTTGAAAGTAAAAAGAATAGGGAATTTGTCCACTTTGGACCGTCTCAATCAGCATTTAGTCTGATACTTACAGACTAACTTGGCGGCTGGATAAGTGCTTTTTATTGTTGCACTCAGCCTATGACTCATTCTTGTGATGATTCCATCCTCTTTGAAAGCAAGGTGTAGACAGATGGGCATCTTGTCAACTGTACTGTATTTAATTCTTTTCTCTTCTATCCTACCATACTTATTGATGAATTGGTGGGGGTAACCATTTTCATGTAGACAGTTTTCTACAAAGGACAGTTCTTCCTTAATATTTTCTCTTCAGAGCGTATGGTTGAAAAGTCTTACCAGGCATTTTTTGTAAGTGTTTGAGTAATAGCTGTTAAAGTTTAAATAACCTTGCCTTTTGAACAAATAATCAAGTCATTTTTTACCTCCATAACCTCTGTTACATCGTTTAGGATCACCCATAAGACTGAAATAAACAATTTATGTTCAACGCTTTATAAAACAACTGCTTCTGGTAGATGATACTAGTTACATTATGATTAGCTTTTGCCAATTTGCGCCACCTATGGCGCCGCCGTGATATTCGTTTGTCTATTAAGGGTCGCGTGTACTGCACAACAGTCCGCTCTGTTCTACTATATGGCTGTGAAACATGGCCATTGAAAGTGGAGGATACAAAAAGGCTTCAGGTGTTTGAACACCGTTGCCTTCGTAGTATAGGACGTATTCCGTGGTGTCACCATGTGAGTAATGCAGAAGTTAGGTGTAGAGTTTTGGGGAGAAGAGGTAAGTCAGTCGACGAGGTTGTGAACCTTCATCGACTGAGATGGCTGGTTGGGACACGTACTACGTATGCCTAGTCACCGATTGCCTCATCACACAATGTTGGCTGAGGTGGGTCCAGGCTGGCAAAAGGCCCGAGGTGGCCAGACTAAAACATGGCACCAATGTATGAAGTGTCTGACTGTTGGTTTGAGCCATGTGAGGCGATGCAGACTAGTCGGTTGGGGTCGGCAAGACAAGAGGAACCAGTGGTTGGAGACCCTAGGTGATATGGCTGGGAACCGAAGTCAGTGGCGCAGATGTATACATACATTATCCTCATCTTAACAACGCTATACCGAATCTCACCATTTTGTCACTCCTCTTTCCTTTCATCTCGTACTTTGTATTTCTTTTGACTGCATTTTCTTATCTTCATCTTCACCTCACTACCTTTTTACTTGATGTGCTGATATGAGGTGTGGCAACTCGGACCGTTACGCAGTAATGCCTGGTCCTATGTTGATAATGATGATGATGATGATGTATATACTTCGGTCTTTTGATTTTCAGCAAGCGTAACTTTTTAACTCATGTTTATTTTCTCCTATATATTACATTTACTTGCGTAACACCATAAACGATATACGCTATTATCGTATATAATTTCTCTTACTGATCTTATAATTCTCTTCAATGGATAAAAATCGATCAACACTGAAGAGGAGATCACAATCCAAGTATACATGTAACATTCAGTTTACCGTCAACTTCAATTCAAAATTTAAATTCACGGTAACAGGATGTTCTGACAAGAAAACAGGTATTCAACGCTGATTGAATGATATCTGTTAAAGAAGGTGATACGATTACCGATATAGTTTACACCAAACTGAATCGAATTGTTTTTGGTGTTGAGATTTTTTAAAAAAACTCCCCTGTACCTACAGAGGTTTTTGATAGCCATGTGATATCATAACCGTTACATGATAAGTATAGCTCATTGCCTAGTTCACAAATCTATGTATGATTGTTAAACTGTACTGTTGTTTTATCTATCGGTTTTTTGACATTTTAAACAAAATTATTTTTAGGTCCAATATTCATGGGCTACCTGGTGGACGACGAATTCGGTTACGTTTTCTGTTATGGTATTTATATTAATGGCATATATCTTCCGGAGCAACTCACATATGTCCTGGCAGCAGCTCAAGTATTTATGCCTTTATCATTATTATTATTACTACTATTGTTATTATTACGTGTTAAAATACAGAAACGTGGAAAAGGGTGCCATACAAAACAATAAAACAACATTATGTGGACACAGAAACTGGTAGAGAGAATAGACGCCAAGTATAGAAGTAGATTATTCAGAAGGCAACCTAAGGGATGCATCCTAAGAAGAATTCACTACCTTCGTTTTACTTCTCAGTAACAGGAGAAATAAGAATTCTTCTGCATACTCATCACTGATTTCAATCCTCGTCCATATCTGTTATCGTATCAACTCCCACTGAGTTGCGAGATCTCTCGAATTCCATCCGAGGAGTCGTGAGATATTGATGGATGATAACCTAGTCTCACAGCGTTCCAGCATTGCTTTACTTCAACTATAAATCAATGCTTACATAACCAAAATTACTTGAGAGAACACAATTTTTCTTAGACTTTAATGGAATCTAGTTACTAAAATGTGAATCATGACTGCACATAAAAAGGAGTATTAAAAAATTGCTTATCACGGGAAGCATAGTGCTCTATCAAGGTGTTCTCATCACTCAAAAGTCGCAAATATTCTCCAGATTTCTAAGAAGTACGTTTTTATTTAGCTGGAATCGGTAGCTTGAATTTTTCACTCCTTTCTCAGCTGTAGGGTACAATTACAAAGTTTTCACTCCTATTCTGTAAAACTTTTCCTTTTAGTTCAAGCATCGGAAAAAGTAAACTGTTCTCCACACTTGGTTCGATAATATATATATATATATATATATATATATATATATATATATATATATATATATATATATATATATATATATTCAATTTGAAGTGTCCTGGGGATTTATTGGTTGATTTCAGGGTGGTATTCATCATGGACTGGCATCAGTTGGAGAAACACTGAAAACCTGGGAGCACTGGACAGTTGTTTCGTCCTTCCTGGTACGGCACTCCTGAGCAGTGCATACCAATGACCGCGCCCCACCAGGGATAGAACCCAAGGCCTTCAGGTTCCGTGGTCAGCACGTTACCATTGAGCCGCTGGTTCGGAACCCAGTGGTTCACGTCTCCTACTTCTGTCAGTTCGCGATGTAGCATGACCTTCATCCTGTCCTCATATCCAACTTGGTTTGGCTCCACCCGTCCTGACGGGACATTGAATGGAGGGGTCGTGTTACATTGTGAACTGACAAAAGTAGGAAATATGGACCACGCGATTCCAACCCAGTGACTCAATGATAATGTGCTGACCACAGAACCTAAAGGTGTTGAGTTCGATCCCTAGTGGGGTGGAGTCATGGGTACACAATACTCAGGAGTCCCATACTAGGACGAAACAGTTGTCAAGTGCTCCAAGGTTTCTAATTTCTCTCCAACTAATGTCAGTCCATGGTGAATACCAACCTGAAATCAATAACATACTCCAACATCTATAAGTATTGTCAGTTATTCTAAAAACATTATGCTTGTTTAGTTGTATTGTCCTGTTAACCACTCCAGTGTGCGAAAATGTGGCATATTTTGTGTTTTCAAGCTGACTGGTAAAATAATTGCATCAATATCAGTATGTATCTAGTTCAATTGAATGGAATACTAATCGAGAGTAGAAATTGAGCTAGTTAAGCTATTTCGAGGATATCCACTGAAAGCTGTTTCTTTTATCAGACATCTTCAGTAAAGTAATTTTAATCGGTTGTAAACAGAGTCATACCTTTGGTATACTCACTGTTTTCCAGAAGTCTACACAGTTAACAAATATGAATATGAACTGGAAACTAATGGTAGATTAAATTATATTGAAATTTTTGGTCAGCTAACGTCCATCAAGTTAGTCTATCAAATGTTTTACTGTATGAAAGTTTCTGTCAGTTAGTAATTTCCATATATTCTTCCTCTCAGATAATTTGTATCATCTGTGTGTTGTTTTGTTTACAGCTGCTCCTGCTTTTCATCTTCTTGTTATCATTTTCTATACATTGTGGTAAACGACAATTTGATCCAATTACTTCTTTGGATAAAGAACAAATAACACAATACTCAGATAATTCTCTTCGTACCAGTAATAGAGGTGGAATTCGTTTTAGTCGATTTCACATTCAAATTAAAAGTAATTCTTCTCGATGTATACTTATTGCATTAGTTGTTCACACATTCAGTCAATTAGTTGCTGCTTTGATTTTTATCTGGTTCCCATATGGCTTTATAGCATTTCTATTAAGTCCTGGTTGTATATTGCCTATCATTGTTTCATGGCTTCTGTTTATTTTTTGTCCACAACCTGATCATGTTAAACATTCTGCCCAGTAATTGACACAACATATGGTGCATAAGTGCATAACATAATTCACCAGTCATTTTTAAAAATAATTTTTATAACTTTAATCATTGACTTGCTTTACATCATCTTGAATCAACTGTGATAACCGTCGACTTGTTGAATTCATTACCTTATCACCCATTGTCTTTCGATATTTAATAAAAGGATTGAGAAAGTGGTCATACATATTCTTCAATATGTTGTGTTTGTGTACATATTTGTGTAATGATTACTGAATATGGTTTATTATTTATAGTTTTGCGAAAAAAGTTGTTATGATTTTTATTCTTTCTTATTTTTGTTGCCTTTGTTCTTCTGTTTTTTTTGTTATCGCATCGGATGAGTCCTAACTGGTTTGTCTGGTTTCCACAAATTATAATTTATCAGTGTACTAAATAGTTTTCAGATGCTATGTGTATGGTTTATTTTATTAGTTAATTTTTCTATTTAATTATTTCATTTTAAAATGTTGGTTTCATTGGCATGTAAACTGTTGTTGTTACCATCCTCATCGTTTATTTTATTTGTTACTACCAGTCACTGAAATCGATTGTAAAAGGTGTCAAACGAGTGACTATGACTGCCTAATTGTTTGAAATAAGCTACACTTACGGTGATCACATTGGATAGGTCAATAAAGTTCTAGTTTAAAAGTACGTTAGTATTTGCATACTGTGACTCATAGGTTTAGAAAGATGACTTTCAACCGATGGGTTGTGTGTTCCAACACCCCTCCACCTATTGAGTTTTGTTTGTGCTGTTAGATTCTATCATTAGCTGTCTCATCATCTTCATGAGTACACACAGGGTTTCTGAGTGCATTTCATCATCGTCACTTGATTTCGTTATCAGTTTCATAGATCAAGTATTCTGTAGCATCAAATTGTGGTGTGTATGTGTGTGTGTGTACTTGGACGGTGTTTTGGTGACTATGAATGGTTAGTAGAAAGTCAATTATGTAGTGAGCACTGTTTACTTAGTTACCTATGCCCCATCTTCAGTGATGCATACTGACAGTTTGCAACTTAAGTTTCGTATATGAACAACTTTGGCGTTGACTCTTCAGGTGTGCTAGCTATTGAATTTCAATCACTCAGGAAGAACAAATCATCTGTGGATCATATTGCAACGCTACCCTACGCATCATCATACAACAGAGCATAGAATGCCAGTCAACTCTCTACCTCAACTTCTTATCCACTTTGAAAAAGCCTATGACAGCGTCGACCGACAAGTGATTTGACAGGTAGCTGCTTCAACGCTACGGTTTTAGTGCCACAAACATTCACCAACCTCATTCAACAGCAACCACATGCTATATGATGTATATGTCATTTGATTCCAATGGAAAGCTTAGTGATGCCTTTGAAGTGAAGACAAGAGTAAGACAAAACAGGTTGCCACCTACTATCACCGATGATTTTCTTGATCGTGGTCGCACAAGCTTGAAGATCTACAGGCGCAAACCAACAAGTTGACAGGAGAGGCAGGGCAGCGAAGACGGGACTTCCTTCAGGTGAAGGTAGAGAAGACAGATGTGATGGATGTACCCAACCAACAACAAGCATTAACCACCATGAATGGGAGAAACCTAAAGGAAGTAGTCTCTTTCAGCTACCTGGACAGTATCGTTTCAACTACAGGTGGCGGCACAGATGAGATGTCAAAGCCAGGATGGGAAAGAGCAAGACAGGAATTCCTTCATTAGTCTGAAGTCAGTGTGGAGGTCTACTGCACTCAGCATAAAGCTTTAACAAGATCAGGATTTTTTAAAAATTAAGTCAGTGCCTTTATATGGTTCAGAAACTTGGCGTGTCACGAAAAGCATTTCCAACAGACTGCAGATATACATCATCAACAGCTGCCTACGCTCGATACTGAAGATCATATGACCAGAAATAATAAACCACAAGGAATTCTAGCAACCACTTAACAAATTCGCAGATAAAAGTGGAGATGGATTGGATTGGTGCATACACTGAGAACACCATTTGCGGACATCAAGCACTAAGTCATGCTCTCGAGTGGAAGCCAAAGGGGAAACGAGGAGTTGGGCGGCCCAGCTGAGGGTGACATGGAGGAGATCGTGTGAGGAAGAAATGAAAGCTTCTAGGCAGTCGTGGATTTCGGTTAAAACCGCAGAGAACAGAGTGAAGAGGAGACGTGCTATTGAAGCCTTATGTTTCACTAGGAACCCAAGAGACAAATAATAATAAATAAGTTGAACTGAATTGATCGGTTTCGATTGGCATATGGGTTGGTGCATGGATGTCTCGCTATTGCCTGTAGTTTCAGTTCAGTAGTAATGATGAAGCCAGGCAGATCCAACTGACCGACCCCAAATAGGTTAAACGTTCGTCCTAGATTCTACAGCTAGCCACTATCATTACTCCAGTTTTATTTATCAAAGTCGTGCAATTTATTAAACTCCATTAAATACATTTCAGCAAATATCTCTAGCTCAGTACTTCTACATAGTTACGTTTGCCCACTGATATATCACTTTGACACCACACATTCAAGAACATGAACTGTTTAGACAGAGGAAATGTATGGATTCCTGCTGGTGTAAACGATTTAAGTTAGCTAACAATATCCTTCGAAGGAAAGTCTACAGTTTACTGAGTTTTTCATGCAGTATCTATGGTTAGTATTAAAGTTGAATCATGGTTTCGTACACTACCCATATATGGACAAACACAGTATCCATCTTATTTGTTCCTGTAAATAAATCCTTTAAACGAATAGTTTTAAGAACATTGAACTCTAACTTTCAATAATGTAGGAAGACCTTTTGCTGAATTTAAGTGACCAAACACAATATATCACGCCCTCTTATACTATACTATCTTTTGTGTGTACAGTCCTCACTGAATGAATATGTGCTGTTTCATGTTCTCTCTCTTACACGTGGGTTTTGAACAGGTACAATGAATTCATGGTCATTAACATTTTATCTTCGCGAATCCACAACCAAATATCTATAAATGTCATTCGACTAGTTTTCGAAATATAATAATATATTTCGAATAATGAATTATACGAACACATGCTATTTTTACAGGCAATATTTAAATGTTATTTCCTTATTGAAACTGTAAAAGTTTAGAAAGAAACAAATCATCGTGCCATACAAAGTCTTCTGGAGTAAACAATTGTTTAGATATTGCTTGTCACAAATATTGGATAGGAGCGATATCGTTAAACAGCAGTGGTGAAAGTTAATGAGGTTATAATCACTCAGTTAGAGAAGCAATAGTGAAATATATAAGAGTTTATTGCATATCGAATGTTGAGAACAAATGAATCCGGAGATATGTCTGTATTCGATAAGTTTGTACTGTCTACAGATGGCAAGCGAAACTGGGATGGACGGCGGACACAAATTTCGGTCTGGTATTGTATAGTGTCATGCTGAGTGTATCAATTGTTTAGGTCTATAATGTTGTAAAATTAATACGTAAAGCCAGGGATGCAATTCTATCCAGCTGCTGTTGTCATATTATGGTGGAGAATATGAGAGGTTTCACCATCAAACCAGTCACCAAAACTTCAAGATCGGCGCGTCATATGAGGTCACTCTCGGTTAGCTTTGTTTTCAGGTGAGTGGTTGTCAGGATTGAAAGGACTTGCATGTTCGAATGCAAATGGCATTTTATACCAACATTTCTAGTTGCTTTCCCGATTGGAGCTATGTATTTGAAGACACCTGTTCAATGTTTATTGACTGATGTAATTAATATCCGTAGGGAATATCAATTACTGAACAAGATAATATAGTCACGTCCCAGAAAATCTACCACCTAATAATAAGGATTATTTTTTTTAGTGTTAGTGAATCTATTCACCTACAGTAAGAATAACCTGGACTTCATGTTTACGGGTGAAGTAACAAGCCTACATTAATGTCATCTTATACGATTACATGAAAGTAGGTGTATGAATTATAAGTAGGTAGGCGACAGAGTACAGTATGAATCAATAAAGTTAATTCAATTGTACATGAAGGTGTGATCAATATTTTGTTGTAAGCGGTGGTTTGTCTTTTCAATTTCATAATAACACTCTGTGATGTCGATATGAGTTATCTATCCTCTGTTAGTATGATAATTAGGTTAAAAGATGAAGGACACATAAATCTATATATGCTCTGGATAGAAGCGAGTTTAAAGGCCACCCTAGCAACAACTGAGATGACCAATCAGTCTTCAGTATTTCGCTTGGAAAAGTACTTTTCCATAAAATAGAGAAATGTAATTGTCTGTCTCGTCAGTTGCTAGGGTGGCTTTTAAAGTCACCCGTTGAATAACCATAAAGGAAGATCATTCGGGATTTAATAAGTGTGTTTCACAGCGTACAAGCACCTCTTGTATAATTCAGGTATTTCAGACAGCGTCTCTCTTGATCATTTTCATCGTAGCAAAAAAAAAATAGGACACATCCACCTCAAGTGTAACACGAAAATACCATCTGATGTCTAGTATATCACGGATTCGTCTCAACTACTAACAATCGAAATTTGTACATTACAAGAATTGAACATATATTTTTGGCAAGTTGACGTAGATGATGAATAATGTGTAGGCGATCCTAAAAGACATGTGAAGGAGATTGACTACTTATCGGATTATTAGGTCCCGACCGATAGCTGCTACCTTGACGTGGTGGTCGGGCTTGCATATCACAATGGCCCAACGAGCTATGTTGGTGGGACGCTTGTTCCCTCGAGGTCCTACCATACCAAAAAGGTCAAAAAAGTCTGTTGGATAGTGGTTAGACAAAAAACAGCTACTGTTGTGGTGTAAACTACTACAGTATAATGGGGGGTCTGAGGGTGAAGTCGTACTGCTGTTAGTTGGATGGGGTGTGACAGCAGTAGGGTGTTTCCCTTGGATAACCAGCAGTGCCATGCTGATGCTGCTTTCTCAGTGAAAGGGAGTGAAGGTTAGAAAAGGTCGGCCCTAAAAGTAACACACTCCACGACACCCCA